TCAGTAGAATAAAAGTAGAATGACAACGAGATTAATAAATATCTTAAGTGTGGATGGATGAGGAGGCTTTCAACATTTGTTGAACGCATGTGAAAGTCTTTCCAGACTTTTCTCCCTTGCTTCCCTTTGCGCACCAAAACCAACCACCTCGCCCACGAAACTTCCATGCATTGTTATATGCCAATTATTCTGCGATCCTCTCTCTCTCTCTCTCTCTATATATATATATATATGTATATGTGTGCAATGCATGAAGATGCAAACTCAAACACAGAAAATACATTCTGAATACATAAATATTCTGAGAGAGCAAAGCAAGAAGTGCAAAAATGGAGGTTGCGGGAGTCTTGTCGCAGGAGCGATGGCACTGCTTTATATATCTCGGCGCAGTGCCGTCGCCTTGTGACAAGATACCTGCAGCTTCTTTAACATTTGTTCCTCCTTTCCCCAGTTTTCATGGCCGACAATTGTCACCGATATTCATCATCCCTGTAAGTGTTTCCCCCCTTCTCTCTGAAAGTAATATCAACTCCATGGATTAATCAACCTGCATTCACCTCAATCATATCTCTTAGCAAAACCTCCTATGATTCTTAGATAACTTCACCCTTCAAAATATTTAATCTAAAACCCAAACATTTTGAATAAATTTAATCTAAAATGACAACAATCCCTTAAGATGGAAAAATATATAGAATAGTCAATTTGCATTAAGACCGTTCCCCCTCCACTCATTTTTGTTTTCCATCACGAGACGCACGACAGATATCTGTAACTACAAATGGGACATATGCAATTATTGTTCTTTTTCATCTGACATTTGTTTCTGGTTTTTGCCCTTGTCTCTACTTACTCGACCCATTTCATAAGGAGATTCTGTGTTTTCAATTATTTCGAATCCCTTAACCTTATCCTCTCTCAGCTAATAATTCTTTGGTATCTTTTGGACTAAATCAACTGTTTATGTTTTGGATTTAAATTTTTGTTACTATAAATATTATATAATATAGTAAATTTTATCGTTACACTTCATAGCTATCGTTAAATTATTACTCAATTAACATGTCTTTAATTTTATTAGTTTCAACCCATCCACTGGTTCCAGCGATAAAAAAATATTATTTTTAAAGATTTTAAATTTAAGTAGTTAAAAAAGATTTTGAACAGATAATTTTCTAATCATTTTAAGACTACCCAAAAAAATTATTAGTTTAAGATTTTAATTCCTTTTACCGAGGAGAATATGTCTAGATGTAAAGTAGTATGTGCTTAGAATTTTTTTTAATTTATTGGTAGTTGTTCGAACTTAAGACCTCTAACGAGAACAATACCTCTAACGAGCCAATAGAAAATTCATATTTATGTAGCCAAAACCCTAATGCACCGTAAACAAGCAATAAAAGGGAACATAAATGACGAATTGGATCCAAAGCTGCAAACCAATGCGATTTCAAGAAAGCATCGAAGAAAGTTGAGGTTGCAGTCCCAAAAGAACAAAGGCTGATTGCTCCTATGAATTAATGCTTGTGTATGATCCAGTAGCAAGGATAGATCGAGGGGTGAGTAGAGCAACCGTTTCCTTGAAAATTTAAATTTATCATATATTTTATATTTTCTTATGTATTTTTATTAAAATTATATATATTTTTATCTTATAACATAAAATCTTACTTATGTTCTTATCTGATAATATTCCCCTTTGGGGTCGAATCGGAATGTTTAAACGTGTCCTCTTTGATGCCAGAAAAGAAACATTCAAAAACAGCTGTTAATGCTGACTAGTCAAGGACATGCCTTTCCTTAGATTGTGTTATATTTACCCTACAACTCTTCTGGGTTCACCTCTACCCCACGTAACCACTATCTTAATCAATTTACACTATTTATTTTGTCAATGACATTTATTTATTTAGTACATATATACACACACAAAGCATATATATGTATGAATGTATGGAGTTGGACAAAGAGCTGACATAGGAGGAAAGAAAATGGTGCTTGGAGACAATGGTAGTGGAGCATATAACACTAGCAAACGGTGATGACATGGACAAAAAGGGTAAACTATATAAGATATCATTGAATTTTAAATAATGTATCGTTTCTATTATTGAACTTTTAATTTCTCTAATTATAACATTAATCTTTGATTTTGAATTCAGTTATACCATTAGGCGATTAAAATCTAATCGCTGTGATGACATTGACAAAACAATATCATTTTAGTGTGGTTATTGATGCCTAAAACGACATCATTTTAGACACTAAACTTTATGTGTATCGATTTTACCACTAATTTTTTAAATAGTTCACTTTTGAGCACTGTACTTTTTCGACAACCGTCGACAATCAATCACTGCTTGTCAAGAATCTCATTCGCAACAAGATTGATGCCAAATATTTGTATTTCATTCTTCTTTCTTTTCCTAGGATTGATTTTTCTCAATACCCACTCAAAATCAATAAATTAAATAAAAAAACATACAATTTTTAGGGATTTGTGAGTTTTCTTATATCTGAGAGTTTTGGGGTGTTTGTTGGAAAACTCGAACAATGAGAAGTATTATTTCGAGAAAACAAACAACATACATCAAATCTAGCCTCATCAAACGACCATCAGAGGAGATTGAGGTATTTGCACGTCGAACATTTAATGTATTTTCATCAATTTTGAGTGGGTTTCATGAAAAATTAATCTTGGGAGAAAAAAGATGAGTGAAATGCAAATGTTTTGATACCGGTCTTGCTACAAAAAACGACCAATAATAGGCAACAATTGGTTATCAACGGTGATAGAAAAAAGTTTGTCATAAATTAAACCTTTTTAAAGTTTATTGGTAATATAGGCACATATCTAAAGTATATTGCCTAAGACGGTATCGTTTACGCATCAATATATCATCACCAAAATAATGTTGTTTTATCCATGTCATCACAATGATAGAAAGATATGTTCATATCATCGTGGCGCTAAAATATAACGACTCAATGATATATTTGAAACCAAAACTAAAATTTAGTGTTATAATTGAAAAATTAATAGTATAGTGGTATAAACAATATATCATCTAAAATACAGAGGTATCTACTATAATTTACCCAAATAAAAATTAGAGCGAGTCAAAATTTTTATACAAGGTGCTATTGAATCACTACATGGCATGATTGTTTTTTTCTTCTTCCGGGGATTGATATCCACATGGGCCCTATTCAATGAAACCTAGGGGTGGCTATAAAAGTTCTTATATAAAGGTTCCTGAATACCTTCTTGAATGCACCTGAATAAAAAGGGGACCTAAGGTATCAATGTTAATGGTCTGATATATCTGTTAGTAACCGATCACTTTCATATGAATCTCGTTCTTGGAATCCGATCAAATTGCATAAGTTTCATGTTTTCCATTCTTGATAACTACTGAGTGTCTCTGAAAAATACTTGGATCCTCTAGTGTGTTCCCCATGTATTACATGACTATCTTATATGTTTTGAAATATGTTTCACCAAAATTATTAATTTACTGGCTTATGAACCATGGCTACATGGTATGTGTTCTCTAATTACATGACTATCTTATATGTTTTGAAATATGTTTCACCAAAATTATTAATTTACTGGCTTATGAACCATGGCTACATGGTATGTGTTCTCTAATTACGGTTTCACTGAAAAATATGATTGTTCATGATTTATGGAATCATGGAATTTACTGATTTATGAACTATGGTTTTCTGTTTTCACTTGTTACTACTTCAACTGTTTTATTAGGACATTATCTGGGTAGGCTGAATGTTCAACTCTGATTAAGCTGGTAAATCCTTATGGACCTAAGGTGACCCTTGGGTAGGCTCTGAGGCTCCGATAAACTCTGATTACATATGGTGTACGGGTGGAGGGCAGTTATATCTTTTATTTCATTGTCACGTTTACGAGATTTTACTGGATTATGATCCATATATTATGGTTTACGGTTAAAACTGATTTCTACTGGATTTTATATGGGTAGAATTCTGAGTATGAAAGTTCATCCCTGATCCAGTTGGCAAATCCTTACGGACCTAAGGCGACCCTTGGGTAGGCTCTAAGGCCCCGAGATCTTTCTTGGGTAGGCCTTACGGCCCCGAGATCCTTCTTGGGTAGGCTCCGTGGCCCCGAGTAACTTGTTTGGGTAGTCTCTCCGGTCCCAAATCATTCCCTTAGGGTGACTCCCTTTGCTATCTGCTTAGGGTAAGCCCTTATAATACAGTTCTGGAAAACTGCATAACAGTGTTCGGTTGGGGGTTCTACTATGGTTTTGAAAACATGTTTCAAAAGGTTATTGTTTTAAGAAGATTTATATCTTTTCATTGGTTTTGGATGGAACACACTAGACATCATATTTCAATCTCTTAAAAACATGGTTCTCTGGATGTTTCCTATAAACTAAGATCTTCATGACTTTTACTCGATGAACTACCAGTGGAACCCCAGCTCATCCCAAAAACATATATATGTCTGAGTCAACAAATTTTTTTATTGCTTTTCATTTATCTGCATGTCCTGTAGCATCAATTGATAGTTTTGTATTACTGAGTTTCCCAAAACTCACTCTTTGACTCACTATTTCAGATTAAAATAATTAAACTAATACAACTGTCGACTTCAATAAAGGAGTTTCTCCGGCGTTGCTTGCAAAGTACGATGCATGTGATTAGGAACATGTAGGTTGTATTTTATTTTTTATACACGAGTCTGAAATATGTTTTATTTCATAATATTGTTAATTTTTTTTTTTGTATTTATAAATTGTTTTATGATTTTAAGCGTTTTAACAAAAAGTTTAATTTTTCTGATATTTTTACGTTGGTTCGTTCCAGTGATCCTAATGTGATATCCCAGATGAAGTCACCAGCATTGTCCCGTGGGTGTTACAGAAGTTGCACGTGTTGAACTGTCAAATCAGTTAAGTAAATTCTGTTTCCCTACTTCTCAAACGAATCGGCATCATCAAAGGAAGTGCCAGCAAAGTTTAAGGTGACTGTTGTAGTGAAAGAAGGCTTTTTTTGGTTGTGGTGTTCTTATTTGAAGAAATATGCTTAGGCTCAGTTTTTGCGATTATTTATTAATACTTCTGCAGATGTGCACTTTCAAGCAAAAAGATTGGGTCTATCTAAGGGCAGTTTGTTTGTCTCTTAATAAAATCATTCAACATTGAATGTTGAATGATTCAGCATTGTTTTGTACCTCTGAATGATTCAGTGTTGACTGATTTAACAAAACAGTGTTGAATGATTCAACACAGAAGTACATTCTAAATCATTCAGAGTCAGTTATCAAATAGCATGTCATATTCAGAGCCTCTGAATCATTTAACATTTGAATCATTCAATGTTTAATCATTCTGAAATAAACAAACCGTCCTTAAGTTTCCGGTAGAACTGATTCAAGCTTGGTTTTGGACTGGGTGATGGGTCCTCTGCTACGTCAGTGAAAGTGGGACTCTGGGTATCCATTTTAGCCTCATGTATCAAAACAGAAATGGTTTATCTTCTCAGTTTGCGTTCGGAGGTTTGCAAAGGTGGGAGTTTCTTAAAGCTTTGTGGTTGGGACTAGATTTTTTTGTGCAGGCTTTTTTCCTGGTGATAGTCACGAATAGTTTTAGGGTATATGGTGTGGTGTGCTTTTCTGTGATAGATGCTCGTGTCTGGCGCTGGTGGAATGTAGTCTGTCCTGCTGCTGACATGGTTCAATCGAAGCTTTTGTCTATTCTTAGGAGTGGGTGGTCTGTAACTTTGGTTCTTCGTTGGGATTTTGCATGTGTCAGCTAAAGTGCACAGGTTCTCAAAGGAGAGTTTTGGGACTCCTTAAATCTGGTATGGATCTTCTTTTTTGAGGAAGTTCGGTATGGGCCGACCTATTTGTTGCTATATGCAAAACTTTGATTATGTACCCATGCTTGGAGATTGTTATTTGTTCGTGGTTTTTTTCCTGTGTATTGTGGGATTTCAAGGGAGCGGGTTGTTGTATGCTTTTGGCTTGGGTATGGTGTGGTTCGGACGTTGTGTAGTGGTTGCTACTTTTGAATCATTAGCTTGTTTTGGTGCTGTTTCTTCCCTAGTTACGGGTAATATTTTCTTCCATGACGAATAATCAAACTTTCGGTTATTTCGACGTTGAGGCTATATATTTACATGTCATTCTCTTTAAAAAATATATATATATAATATAGTTGGAATGAATAAAATATGAATCATTGTTAATAAAAGATTTAAAAATTATTTTATTAAAATACTAACATAATTTTAAAAAGTGCAAGGTAGATCCACCGGGGCAGTCGCTCATCATCTCCTATTGTTCATCTTCTTTACATGATTAAAAAAGAAAAGAAGAAGAAGACAAGAATGAAGATTTTAACAAGGGCTGCCCTTTTTGCACTCAAGAGCGCCGGCAAATTTAGTGAGTTTTCCGACAAATGTTGCGGGCTTGGCATCGATCATCTCCATCTTGGTGAAGTCATAATGTGGAGATACGAGTGGTCCCGATGTCCTAAAACGAGCTCCGTTCAACAACAAATCTCCTTCCGATCTCCATATCCATTTGCTCCACTCCGACTCCGGCGCGTAGTTTCTGTTCGTCACCTCTTTCGCATCGTTGTCTTCCGGTGCAACGAACCTGTTGCCTTGGCTGATAATGGTGGGATGCATGCTGCCTCCTAGGGCATACATTTTCCAATGCGTGTAATCATTATTAACAACATGAAAGAAACCCAACCTACGTGGACGTAAACATGATTTTATATTAGGAGGGGAACGAACTTTTAAAATATACGATAATTTGATCGGCCCATCCCTATTCACCTGCATCTCGGCATTCTCTGTATCAGTTCTTTGCCGAAATGATTGAATGTTACCGTGACCTGCATCAGTTTATCTGTTGCGTAGCTGTCGCTTGCACCCAATAAAATCACTTGAACCGTATATACCGTTGGTTATGTGATATAGTGGTGAAAATATGTATGTAATGTGAAGAACATAGTGTGGAGTGTAAGTGTGTAACGTCGTTGTGATGGGTGAAATGACAATTTGAGATTGTGATGGCCGTGGAGCCTTGGATTGCATCGATGAGTCCGTCTTGGCATTCCGACATCGAAATGTGATCGAGCCAGATGTTTGTTGATCCGAATATGTTGATGCCATCTCCGTCGCCCATTGTCCGCTGGCCGTAATGATCCATCGAATCCCTTATCACGGCACCCTTGCTTGGAAGGATGTGATGAACATGAATGCCATGGATGATGACATCCTGCACAAATTGAATCGTGATGCCGGCTCCGTATGCGATATGGACGTTCGCTCCACGACCATCGATAGTCTTCTTGCTTTGCATAATTAGCTCATGCGACAACTTGATGTGCATGTCGCGAGCGAAAATGATCCACAACGGCTCGTCCCGGATCATGGCCCAACGTAAAGTTCCTGGTTTGGGATTTAACACGTCATCGTCGGAATCGTCAGTCACCACATAGTAGTCACCATCCTTTCCTCCTTCAGTTTTGTGGCCGAAACCAACCACGCAATTCGCTAGCTTCTTACGGTTTTCGGCCCAGTTATCCCTGCACCGCCAGCATGCGTCGATGGGGTTGGTCGCCATGCATGGACCCTTGTACTTCTTGTGTTTTCCCCTCAAGATCCTCCTGCCGGTGCTGTTACCACCATCATCACCATTATCACCATCAACCAAACCCCTGATCTCCTCGCTGGATTTTTTAAGAGCCCTGAACCACATTGTCCATTAAATACAATTAATTAACACACATACATATATCACATGTGAATAATAGAAGTTATGATTGAGATTTACAAATGAACATGTTGATTGAATTTCCTGGTGGCGTTTTCTGGGTTAGGGTCATAAGCTTCCATGCCCGTAGCGCACGTTGCTGCCATACTTCATATTCAGAGATATTATATCCCCAGAGGGCTCGAATTAGTGTGGAAAATGAAAACAGGAAGACCAGTCTTGTCTTCATCCCTGTTTCTCCAATTTGTCTTCGTTTTCGTGTTTTTTTTATTTATACGAAAGTCCCTAAGATTCAAGACTGAACAGTAACTACAAGTTCAATCGCAGTTAAACACCACAAGAAAATGGTGTAAACCCGTTTCATCTAAGGCACTAAGCTTTGCTAAGTGCCAACTTTTCAAGGTTGGCCAACGATTAATTCGCTTATTTAGATATCATCTATGTGGAATTCGACAGCCTTTTGGGGGGGGGGGGTTTAAATAATGCTTCTGAGGAAACTGTGTGGTTCTAAAATTAGTGCGTAGAGAATGGGCAACCATGCTTTACAACATACTTTAAAACCACGCACTTTTTTTCTCCACAAATACCTGTGAAATCGTAGGCATCGACTTTTTCATTCGATTCAAAGACCTATAAACACGAGTATCCCTGAATGTGCCGGAGAACAGTACAGGATATTAATGAATAAAAGAGAAATAAACGAGACGGGCTTCCTTGAGCTCGATGAACTAACCACAATGCAGCACATCCATTATGGCTTGTGCAGTTCTACTGGTACAATGAAACAGTGGAATATAGCAATACAATCCTTGTCGAAGAAATCCAAGAGGTACCCATCTATTTTGTGTTGACTATGCATTCTTGAGATGCGGGTATGGGGTACGGATATGGACCGGATTCTAAATATCAACATAAAAAAGCTTGAGCCTATTGTTCTTTTGCTTTAGGCTTTGGTGATGGAGGAAGATGGTGACCTGGAGAAACATGGGGACCGTTCGAACTGGATAAGCTCCTCATAGGTTGTCCGTTCCTCATTACAAATCCTGCCTGTGCTCTGATGCCATTTTTGGCAGTTAAGTTGGAGGACCTAGTACGATCGGATTGCATATTTTGGAAGTAATAGGAGGAGCTGGCCATGTCTTTAAGGTTTGGAAGGGGCTTTAGTGTTTCAACAACTTTACTCATCCGAGGTCTGGCTTTAGGATCTCGGCAAAGACATTGTGCAGCAAGCTGGGCAGCTTTCAGTGCACCTTTGATCGAAAAGTGCCCTTCAAGGCGAGGATCTAAAACCCGGAAAAACCTTCTCTTGTCTCCTAGATGTGGTCTAGCCCATTCCACAAGATTGTGCTCCCCATTTGGTCGGTTTTTGTCCATGGATCTCCGGCCAGTCAACATCTCAAGTAATACTACTCCGAAGCTATACACATCACTCTTTGATGTCAAATGCCCTAATTAATAACTGTGTTAGATTTATGTAACCAAAGATTCAAATGATAATGAAACAATCATAGAAGAAAGTAAGTTCCCGATAAAATTGTTATGCAGTTCGGTTAACACAAACATGAAATGCGAGCTAATTCAAAAACCGGAGCAGCAAGAAAGTTGGGTATAAAGCAAACTAATTTCAGAAATAAAGTGGTAATTCTACCGCATACCAGTCATTACATATTCAGGTGCTGCATAGCCATATGTCCCCATGACTCGAGTAGATATATGAGTTTTATCTCCTTCGGGACCATCTTTCGCCAGTCCAAAATCGGAGAGCTTGGCATTGTAATCCTGATATTGGCAAACAATTTTTTAAAAAAAGAAAATAAATAAAGCTAGGGAGAGAATATTTTTCAGTCTCGGCTACATACTGCATCTAACAAGATATTAGATGTTTTAAAATCACGGTAAATCACTGGTCTTTCTGCTTCTTCGTGAAGAAAGGCAAGACCCTTTGCGGCACCGAGTGCGATTTTCATTCTAATAGACCAAGGAAGTGGCAAGGACCCTTCTGCGCAAAAAATGGTTATTACCAGATAAAATTAAGCACTGATCGACCATGGATTTGCAAATGCATAAGGGCACAAAATAATCGTAATAAACACTAGCAAATCGTCGGCCACACTAAAGGTTTCACGAAACAAGACGTGATAACATACTTCTGAAGAGGTGATTCTCCAGACTTCCTCGTGGCATAAACTCGTACACTAGTAATCTGTGATCATCTTCAATACAGTAACCAACCAATTTAACCAAATTAGGATGGAGGAGGTTACCGAGAAAATCCACCTCAGCCTGCCATATGATGCAAAACAAGGAAGTTCAATTGAAAAAATAGTATGAAAGAAACGTTATTCACAGAAAGGAAACAAAACAGATTCGGATGTCAAACCAGCCATTCTTTGTGACCCTGAAGTCCATCGATGTTTAGGGTTTTGACAGCTACAGTAAGCCCCGTACCGGGTTTTACGGGAGCAGTTCCGTTCTCCTCAATCCAGCCTTTGAATACGCAACCAAACCCGCCCTCACCGAGAAGACTTTCAGGTCTGAAATTTCTGGTAGCTAATTTAAGGTCAATAAAAGTGAACTTCAGAAGATGTGAAGCGACTTTCAGTTCCTCACTGAGCTTCGGTGTCGATGAAGCGCTTTCCGCATTACTAGTGGTTGTAGAAGACACTGGAACAACTGGCTGATCTCTGCTGTTCTCTTTCGTAGGTTCGCTTTCCGCTGCATTTGTAAAAAGAAAGAAGTCATCAAGCTCGATGGTTATAAAACAATAATCAAAACTACCAACTATCATATACCATTTTATATACAAGCATTTATCATACACTAATTAACCTCTTAAAGGATCAATCTTTTTCACTCTGCTTTAACTTCTATTCTTTCAACCAATACCCCTCAAAAACATGTTAAAAAACATCACTAATTGGTATTTAATCTCAGTAAAAACACAAAACTATACTTTCTCTGCCTGATTTGTACTGTAAAGATTGAGTTTTTTTTTTAAACACCAAAATTTTTTGCTATAACCTTAAGATTCTCTATACTAAAATCTCTGCTAAATATTCTCATACAAATGATCACATCCTTTACCTCAATCCATTGGGAAAAACATTTCTTAAGCATCCTTTTTGTTCACTTGAATATATATACATCCACATATAACATACATACATACATATAATATAATATAAGAAAATTGAGGATTAAAAATAGCTGCTTTAAAAAAAGGAGAAAGGAAAGAGAAGATTACCATAATGAGTGCTTGTTCTTCCACTGACAGAGTTATCAACTCTTGATCTTGAACACATGCAGCTTCCCATGAACCTCAAACTCACCCAACACCCTGTTTCTTCTTCTCCACCATCTCTCTTCTTCCTTGTTGAATTTTTCTCCATCACTTTTCTAGATTCATTACCAAAACCCATCTTTCCATAAACTGATCTAAATTCCGTCAAAAAACAAACATGTTTTCAACACCCAGAAATATTTTTAATCATTAAAAAGACCCCATCTTATGAAATCTCAAATCAAGTGGTTTCAGGCAAAAAGAAAAAAAAAGAAAGGATCTTTAGCTGGGAATCACCAAGACCCAGATTATAAAATTTAGTCAAAAGGGAGGTTTTGAGTAAGAGAAAGACAAAGGAGGGCTCTGCTTGTGAAAGGGGGAAAGTGTTCAACAAAGGGCAGTTTGGGCAGTATGAAACACATAAAGAGGGCAGCTCGGGCAGGAGAGAGAAACAAGAGAGAGAAAGAGAAAAGTCATTCCTTGCAGTTAACTAACAACAGTAAACAGAGCATATTCCAAACCAAATATATAATCATACATAATGGTAGCGAAAGAACACGGAAGTGGATATACTTGAAAGATTTTGTTCTGTTTAATGTGTGTCTTTGGTCGGGTTAAGATTATCTTTCATCTTCATCAACAGATAAAGATACATCAAGTTCCATTGATTTGAGCATATTTATGATTTTAATATCATCAATATATGATTATGACTGTACTTATAACATACACTTAATTCGAATAATTTATAAATAATAATGAGTGAAAATGAAAGATTATCTTCTTCTTTTTCACTCTCCCCAATCAATTATTTGTAGCACATGTTTCATATAATTATGTTCCACGTTTAAAATCACAACATTAATTATATTATATACTTCTCCTTTAACATTAAATAATAAATAAATAAACAATTTACATTTTAGTTGGATTAATTTAAATAAATTTAATTTTGACAATAATAAATGTAATTTTAAGAAAACAAGAAAATAGAATGATCCAATAGCTAGGTGTGTCACCCATTAGTAAAGGTGGGGTTGGTATGCCAACATCTACCACCAATTTCACACATACCAAATATTTTTTATTTAATTAATTGGATTATAATATTTATTTTTATTTACATAAATAATATTTATCAAATTTTAATCTTAAAAAATTAATCATCCGACTACTTGTTTCATTTCATATAAATTTTTTGTAATTGTCAAATATATATTTAGAAATAATATTTTCAATTGATATGATAAAATAATAAGTTGACTATGATTTTTTTATGTATGATTAGCACAATTACTAACTCAAATCATGAATTTATTAAAATGTAATCATATTAAAATTATGTAAATGTATAAAATTAATTTAATTTGATTACTAAAAGGTTTCATATATATTTTCAAGGGCTAGAATTCAAAGTCATTTACACTTCTAAAGCGCACATATATAAATAATTAAATATGTGTTTATTTCTATTATGAACGAAAAATGATTTTTCATTAATTTATTATGTATCATATTTGACTTGATACCGACTATTACACTCCTACAACTAATATATATATATATATGAAAGGATAAATAAATTAGTAAAATTATTTTACGATTAGGGAGGGTATAAGAGTACAATTTAGTGGGTTTCATATCGTATCCATTTCATTTAGGACGAGGATGGACATAAAATTAGTGGATAGTAGACGAGTGTAGATGTAAAAAGTTATACCGTTGTGGGTAATGGATAGGTGATGGATTTGAGACCTTACATGTCCCGTATCTACCTGCCCACTAACTACTCACCATATATATTTTGTATCATTATGAATTTGAATATAATTCTAAAGACTGTTATGTAAATATTAAGATTTTATAAGACATGATTTGTGATTTAACCAAATGTTAGGGTATAAACATTTTTAGAATTTAATATTGTTGTTTCTTTTATCTCAAATTGACGGGTATAGACAGATATAAGTGGGCATAGACGGGTATGAGATGATTAGTATGTATCTAATTGGGTAGTGGGTATGAGTATAGATTTAAGAATATATACGCGTGGGTAGGTATGGATTTAAAATTTTTACCTATTGTTAGTAATGAGTAGGTAATGAATATGAAGATATTAGGCGAGTATGAGGATGGAAAAATGAGTATTCGCACTCACCCCGCATGTTTGTCATCCTTACTTAAGATTGTTTCAAACAAATTTAGATTGAGTATATACTTTTTTGTATTAAATATACCTGTAATTTTTCTATGCAGGAGTAGGGATATTGTCAATCCCATATGCACTGGCATCAGGTGGATGGTTGAGCTTGATACTCCTCTTCGCCATAGCCACTTGTGCATTCTACTCGTCCTTGCTGATTCAAAGATGCATGGACACAGATCCAAGTATCACAACTTATCCCGACATAGGCGAGCGTGCATTCGGGAACAAAGGGAGACTTACAGCATCGATCGTTATGAACATCGAGCTCTACTTAGTGGCTGCTGGTTTTCGAATTCTCGAAGGGTATAACTTGCATAACTTGTTATCCGTTGGAGAGTTTCAACTTGGACGACTAACAGTTGGTGGGAAACCAGGGTTTATTATAATCGTAGCTCTCATAATTTTGCCTACTGTTTGGTTGGATAATTTGAGCCTTCCGTCTTACGTATCGGCCAGTGGGGTTTTGGCTTCTGCAATCATCTTGTTCTCGATCATCTGGACCGGTGCTTTTGATGGTATTTGGTTTAAACAAAAGGGAAAGTTCATAAACTGGGATGGAATTCCCACTGCTGTTGGCTTATATGCCTTTTATTATTGCACTCATCCAGTTTTCCCTACACTTTACACATCAATGAAAAAAAGGAACCAATTCTCCAATGTATCTTTTAAGTTTATTTTGTTTCTGCAATTTGTCTGATTGGCTTTTAAGTGAATTTGTCTGGTTTGTTTTAGGTGTTGGTTGTCTGCTTTGTCTTGTGTACCATCTGTTACTTGTCCATGGCGATTTTCGGGTACTTAATGTTCGGATCAGATGTTCAATCACAGATAACTTTGAACCTTCTGACAAACTCAGCTCAAGGATTGCAATATATACCACCCTGGTCAACCCCATATTGAAATATGCATTGATGGTTACACCGATTGTGATTGCCGTTAAGAGCCCTATTTAGTATCGATGCGAGAAGCGAGTCATCCACGTCTTTGTCGGTACCACCCTGGTGATCAGCACCGTTTTGGTGGCTCTTACTGTTCCCTCATGTCCTTAGTTGGAGCATTTTTAAGTATCACGGCTTCAGTCACTCTACCATCCGTCTGCTACTAGAAGATATCGGGAACTTACCGGAGATTCAACGGCGAACTGGTTGCTGTAAGCCTGACCATTTTGATGAGTGTTGCAGTGGCTGCATTTGGTACTTATACATCAGTTTTAGAAATAATAGGCAAGTTTTAAACACCAATGGTTTTGTATATGCATTATTTTGTTGCAACATAATGCATTAACTCAAATCAAACTGAAGGGTAGAAGGTTTGAGTGTTAATTTTCAATTTATCGTAGTTACCATTGATACAAATTCCTTAACTGTCAGTAACCACCTTGAAAATAAAGTTTGAAATTTGAACCGCCTTTAAATATCAAACCATCACCCCAATACCTTTTATTTCTTTAACATCGGGCTTTTATCTGTTCTGAAAAAAATGGAGGAAACTGACCATGGAATCGACATTAGAGTTTACACTGCAACACCACCACATGAGAACCCTACACCAACCTCCTCCCTCCCTCGCCTGCCTTCGGAACCCGGTCGCAGGAGGAGAGTCGTGGCCAAAGGGGTTCAAAAAAACATATCCAAAACTTCCATGCTTGTCAACTTCCTACCAACAGGCACCCTTTTAACTATCGAATTGGTTCTGCCTTCTGTTTACCGTCACGGTGTTTGCACCCATGTTACCACTATGATGATTTACTCCCTCTTGGGCCTTTGGGCGGTCTCTTGCTTCTTCTTCCATTTCACCGACAGTTTCCGAGGCCCCGACAGGACGGTTTACTACGGTTTCGTCACGCCCAATGGACTGGTCCTTTTCAAGCCTGGTCTCGAAGTACAAGTACAAGGTCGGACTCACTGATTTCGTTCATGCTGTCATGTCAGTGTTGGTGTTCATGGCAATCGCTTTCTCTGACTATAGAGTTACCAACTGTGTTTTTCCGTTATGGAGGGTTTCCCATCGATGGTGGGGATTATTTGCACTGGCTTGTTTCTCGTGTTTCCCAAAACTAGATTTGGCGTTCGTTGCACCGCTGCTTGATGAATTTAGTGTCTTGGTATATATAGATAATAATTTCAAATGTTTTTGTAAGAATAAATTTCTTCGACAATCCCTGCAAAAGAATGTTCCATCGTTACTGATTTTGTATTTTCTTTTTTCTGATTTATGGAAATATTAGATTAAATCGTTGATTTTCTTCAATCTCAACAGTGAGATAAAATGAAAGGGAAACGATAAAGCTGAAGATTGAAAGCAAATCTAATATAATTATTCTGGAAAACAACAGATCAGGACAGGGACAATGCATCAGACATAAAAAGATTAGGAAATTAACCCACAAAATCATCTGAAAAATAGGAGTTGCAGAGATTTTAATACATCTAAATCGTGGACTTGCAAAGGATACATTTTTTCTATAAGGATGCAAGTTCGTGTTATAGGGAATTCATTCTGGGTCAAACTGCGAAATACGAGCAACTCGATAAGAGCCCTGCGAAACCCTTTGATAGGCAACCTTCAATTGCACAAGGAGACTTCGAGGAACACATTGGACTACTGTGCTTGGCAATTTCCATGCAATCATCAGATGAATTCTGGGGAGGATTATCTTCCCTATTAACCGATCGTTGTGCAATCAACTTACTTCTCTTAGAATTCAATGAGCAATTCAGGGCTGGTGAGTTCAAGAAGTGCGAATCGATAGACTCCATTTCATCATCTTGGCATTCAGGCAATTTCCTCTTCATCCCAGGATATACTCTTAATCCTGCAGCGTGATATCGTTACAATTAACATCAACTATCTATTGCACAGCCCATATTTGCAGGGAACTTATACAAAGGTAAATGTGAAAGCTAGTATACGACATACCAGGCAAAGTGTCCTCGTATGCAGACGACTGCAACTCCAAATCAACACAGCAACAGAAAACATTTGAATCTTTGTTGGATCCAGAAATTCTGCAGTGGGGAGCAAGCAAGGATAAGGGGTTTCATGCATCTATGTATAGTGTGCATGCAATAGCATTAGTTTAAGGGTTAATGCACCTTCTGGCCCTCGACTTTGATGTGTTTTTCTCCTAGATTTTTCCTTAATTAAAATTTTTAATTTGTATTAAATGTGAAATATAAATCTTATCTTAACACTTTAGATAATTTTTAATTTATAAATAAAAATATTAATCATTTAATGTTGTACAAAAATAATTAGGGGTCAAATTGTATATCAACGCCAAAGTCTGGTGCCAAATTGCACCAAGAAATCAGGTAAAATGGCAGCTTAATGCCAAAGTCGGGGGTCAAAAGGTACATTAATCCTTATTTTTAATAGAACATTCCGGAATATTGGCACCATGAATGACAAAATGACACAAGGCATGATTATTAGTCAATGCAAAAATGAATATGGGCTAGTGATCTTATAAGAGTTATTCAGTAAAATACAAAAATGAAAAGATTAAAACTTAAAAAGTAGGACCATATAACAAAAGGCTAAATATGTTTCTTAGACTCAAGGGTTTAGTATTAGGGACAAGTGTACGTCCAACATGGGGTAAACTCAACTATTTCTAAATTTTTTCATATATTTCAACGACTGTATTCCTGTACCCATGTCCGAATATATACCGAACACTAGGGTTGGACACTGATACTTCAGGGGAAAAATAAAGAGTTGGAATATATTAAAACGATAACAATAAGAACTTGGAATTATAACCTAAAATAAACCACGTAATTAGAAATTAGCCCTAAAAATTCCCATATTCACACAAAATGCTGAAGTATCAAACCAGACCTGTACATATGCTCCACAAAGTCATCAATCAGAACAGGCCAAGCACCTGGAAAACAACCAAGACAACTATGATCCAAATCGCACAGATATACAAGACGGGCAATAGGGCAGATTTAGGGAAGCTTAATACCTTCGGGATCATAGCCTTCCAGATTTTCATGTACACACCTACTAAAAGCTAAAACTTGTTGCCAAGTATCCTCCGAAATATTGTGATGTTGGTTTTCCTGAGGCAATCAAAGACATTAGATGCCTTAATCAAGATACTGACAGTAGTCATTAGCAGGTAGCGTCCATTTTCAACTGCTTGGCATGGACTATAAGGATTTTCAAAGGCTAATAGGGAAACTGAAGTACAAGAATGGCGCGCTTCTCCCACTCCGACAGACAAAACTGGAGCAGCAGATGTCACTCTTTAGATGCATGGATGCAGGATAAAATCTTCTACCCATTACAGTAATAATAAATTATTTATAATCAATATCCCGATTCTGATGAAACTTCTGTCCAAAATTAAAGTGGCACGTTGGAACAACAACCAATAGTTTCACAAGATGTCTCCAAGACAAACATAAAGTTTTAGACTGTTAGCAACTCGGTACCTGTCATGCTCATACCTCAACATATTTACACCATTTGTCAAGCAATCGAAACCTTCCAGCTAAGACTAATCTCCATGCAGCAACCGCCCTTCTTACAGCTATCAATCATGACAAAAGCCAGAGAATTAAATACAACACCAAGGAAATTCCTAGTATTTTACAGCTTAGATAACCTCGATGTTATTCCAACGATAAATCAGTGGAAGTATTTCCATGTAACTAATTAGCATGAGATAACTTACTGATATTCTTTTGGCCATTTTCTCGGCACATGAAGAAAACAAAATCATAGAAGCAGGAGAATTCAGAAAAGTCTGCCTACAGGAAACAACAGCAAGCCAAATTTTAGTATGGAAAACAGGATACGCAAAAATAAAACCAGTGTATCAACAATGAAAAAGTTTAAAGCTAAAGTCTGAAATACTGGTTAAATCTATCTCTCAAAGAACTTCAATGAAGAGGAATCTCACCGTAAGGTCTAGTTGTAACATTAACTTGCGAAGTTTATCAAATATCAAAGTCCTGTCACATTAAACATAACCGATACTCAATCAATAGTGTATGTCAAACAATTAGACCAAATAACCAATAAACAGGACTGGCTACAGAATCTTGTTTGGAAATTCAGCCCACTTTGATAAGGTCCTGTGGAATAATACATTTTCAAAATTGCAATTCACAGCACAAATATGATCAAAATAACCAATACACATAGGAAGAATAACATGGTCGAGAAGGGCAATTGTCACTCAAGTAAATCAGGATCAAGCTGGAATTTTCAAAATTTAAGACATGATTGGCAGATTCTAGAATTTGCAGTATCTAAGACAAGAACCACCAAAAATGGTAATACTTTCACATGGCATTCCGTAAATATTAAACTTATACTTTAATTCCAACAATTTTTCAAAGTGTCTGAAGACTCATCAATCAATTCTCTAATCCTCCTAATAGCTAGCCAAACACCCTAAACTTATATCCACAGATTATAGATATGAACACCACCAACTACCTTGAGTGCATCCTTGACTCCACCATCTTTAACAGCTGATTCAATCCATCCTTCGAGTACTTAGCTCTTTGTGATTCCTCATCTTGTTGGTACCCGTCTTCACCATGAACACATGCATTTCCTGTTCTAGGTTCTGCAAGACAGCTTAAAAGTTAAATAAATAGAGTAAACAATATATTTTTTATTAAAATAAAACAAAGGTAACATCCCAATCACAGCACAAACAGTTCTGAACTGTTCAAATTCTAAAGCTTCAAGCATATCAGTGACAGACCAAAATCTTAAACATTTAACAAATTCTTTGACCAGATCAAATTACCTTAATTACCTAAAATTTAACTAATTCTTAAACATTTAACTAATTCTTTGACCAGATCAAATTATCTTAATTACCTAAAATTTTAGGGTACTTAATTACATTAATTTTTCATAATTAAACTTCAAAATGGCCAAAATTTGAACTAGAAAGAAAAACCCACCACCCAATTATTAGACAAAAAAAGTAAACCCAAAAAAAACCCTTATCCAATTTCCAATATTTCTCCCCCAAAATTAACATGTCAAATTGCCAATCTTTCCTATTATACATCAACCGAAACATACGTTCTTTTGATAAACAAACGGAACAATGAAGGAGAAAATATCATAACAATTTTATTACAAAAAGTGGAAAAAATACCACAAAACAGCCGGTAAATCTCGAAGATATCAAGCCGATTCGGACCCAAAGAGTCCATCGGATTCGCTACAGTATCCGGAGCTCGGGCGAGTTTGGTTGTTCCTCCTATTATTATTGTTGTTGGGTGAGATATAACAAAAACTGGAAGTTGGTCTTAACGGTGCCGCTTGGAAGTTAAAGTCTCCTCTCTTCCTCTGTATTTTACGAAAATCAAGTTCCCTTTGGATTTTGTTTTTGAGGAAGGGAAAGAATGGAAACGAAAACGAAAATACTGGATTTTCGGTGAAATTAAGATGAACCAGATGCCTTCTGGTTCGGGTGAACCGGGTATCGAAAACATTCATTGTGTATCCCTCACGTTCATTACCGATCACCTCGATTTTTGTTCTCGTACTATACTTGAATTTAATAGGTTTCGATTCGATTTAATTTGATTAGGTTAGATTTTTTAGAAAAAAGTAAGTTAGAGTTAGTTCGGGTCAAGTCAAATTTTTTAAAAATATATGATCAGGTTATATCGTATTTGACTAAGGTGAAAAATACTCGACCTGAAATAAATATATAATTCTACTTTATATATTTTATGATAATTATAATAATATTTCTCTATATATTATTTTTCAATTAAATCTCTATTTTTATTAAATTAAAAATAATATTTTAATAAATATATTATTTTAAGTTGGGTCAGATTCAAATTTTATCTCAAAAAATTGGTTCGAATTTGAATAAAAAATTGGTTCGAATTTGAATCGGACATGATATATATATTTTTCGAGTCCAGAGGAGGATGTATAATTTTTGGGTCGAATCGGGTTGATCGAAACTCGACCCAAAACTGACATGGGCTCATCCTACTTGTTATGTTATATAATTATAATATAAAAGCCAAAAAAATATTATTTTTAAATAAAATTAAAATAAAACATACAATAAAGCGTTAAATTATAAAAAAAATCGTTGTAAAATAAAGAAAATAAAGTAATAAGATCAACTAGAAAAAGAATATAGGAAACAGATAAAGAAATTTATTTATTTTATTAATACTATTCGTATATATACAGAATTTCTAAATTTTATATTTATAGATATAATGAGTATAAATCATATAAAATTTTAATTTTAATGGGCATCAAAGTCTTAATAATAACATATATCATTATTAAGGTCGTTCGAAACTATGATCAAATATTAAAAAAATAAATATATATTAAATAATTAAATCTAAAATTTAAGAAGAATAAATATATTATTTGACTACTTTAGACTGATCAATATTTAAAATGTTAACACCTCATACTGAACAAATGGTTTTCTCCCCGGTCATCGTCTCATTTAATAACTCATAATTAATAAATAATGTAGTTGAAGATTTTTTTTTATATAAGTGTTTAATTTTTTATATATTTTATAAATATTTTTAAAATTTTAATTATATATGAGTTATTATTTTGTAACTTATGATATTTTTAGTTTTTATATTTATTTTTAATTTTGAATCATATATAAAGATATACCCACGAGGCAGAAACATGGCTAGACCAATGCATAAATCGAAATCCATTTAGAGTCTGGTGCTGGAAGAAAACCAGACAGAAGATGAAGAACGAGTTTCGAATGTCACAATGCTACTGAATTCGGGTTTTGAATTCAGCTTAAACTGATAAGAACCAGCTAGACTCGCAGAGTGATGAACTCCAATCGATCATGTTCCGATCGATATCGAGTAACATAAACATGAGAATTAACTTACGAGAAAGCACGGATGATAAACCTGGATGAGATAATAAGAGATGAGTAGGGTATGAAGATAATGTTGCTGCCTGCACTGCAATGGAGATATGAAGTTCAAAATGCAAGCGAAGTTAGGTGTCTATGCCATGGATCATAGATGTATCTGATCAAAGGAGTCTGGAATATGTGCCAAAAACTACCCTGGCATCGACAAAACGATGCCGTACTCGATATCGATCGAAACAAAGCACGAAATGTTATCTAAGGCTCCTCCATACAACTCGCCAGGATAAAGGAAAGAGTTCAGATACATGGACAGATATCCGAAACACATGAAGAATCTTGTTTCTATCATTGACATCAACAAAATGTAAAGCATTGCTAATCTCAAAAGAAAATATTTACTTCAAGCTTTAACAATTGACATAACAATCTTCTCCATCTCAGATTTTAACACCGGCGCTAATCAAACTGTTCGTGTGACGAATAATAATCTGATTCTTCAACGATCACCTAATCAAGTAAACAGGAATTCTAGGAACTATAGCTGCATAAAACGAATTGCAACTCTTAAGAACCCTAAACATAAGTTCTAAAGACTTAAGTTACCATTAAAATAGTGATTGAATAGATGAAAAGTGAATATCCTTATATTCTCCACTATAACCAACTGTATTTATAATCCCTGCAACTTATTGCCATGAGAGCTTATTTAAAGACGACATTCTTTCTGATTAAACTAACCAGAGAAGCCATACCTCACTGCATTATGACTACTTTCTGTATTGCTTTAAGTTACTCTTATCTATGATATTCTTGTTCCGAAATCCTATTTCTTGATCTTTCTTTTCGGCTCCGGAACCTCCTATCTGCCTACAGAACAATTCGAAAAGTCCCCTTTTAACACCATCTTTAACCAGAGTGCTTGAGTTCTTGACACATTTCCAGCTGAATGTCGAATTCGGCTGCCTTCCTAAGCCCTTTGCAGTTGTGGTTCCTGCATTTCCTAGTTGTACACATAAGCAAAATCCAAGCAGCTATTGCAGCACAAGAGAAACCAAGTAAAATGGATCCATGTATAGTTGCGTTTATTCTCTGCAATTCTTTAGTCTTAAATTAAATGGTTCAGAATTACCCATTAAAAGTTTGGCAAAAAGACATCAAATGTCCCTGTATTTTTAAATAAAATCAATGTTACTCTCGTATTATTTTATCTCTCAATGTGGTCTTCTAACTCGGAAATCAAATTCAATGTGGCCCTTTGACCAACGTTTTTTATTGTTTGACCGTTAAAATGCTGACGTGGTAGTTTATCTGCCATGTTTGAGTTACCAATTTAGTACATCTATCATGTTATCCGCCACGTTATTAACCACTGTGAACTGCAACGTCAGTCCCATAACAGAAAACAACGAAAAAAACATTGGTCAAAGGGTCGCATTGGACATATTTTCTAAGTTGGAGGGTCACGATGAAGAAAAATAATAATACAAGGGTCACATTGATTTTTTAAAGTTACAGGGACTACTAATGTGTTTTTGCGTAAAAGTTTTATTTCATATTCAGTCAAGCCTTTGACGGAGTAAAATTTAGCTCAAGAACAAAAGTTTAGTCCCTTGGCTGCATTCTTTAAGTCCACTTAGAAGGATTTCAGGTTTTGTTAATTTCTTACTAAATAAATTGATAATATATACATAATTCATATATTATCTCGTTACTTTATAAATTTTAATTATTCAGGAAACGATATTAAAATATACATTATTATTTTGGAAGTTTTAATTATTTCATAGTTCTTTTACTCTTTCCTAACATTTTTTATTCTTTATGTTATTATTGAAGCTATTTTAAAACTTGCAAGAATAATTATTTATCTCATTTTTTTTCTTTTTCTTTATCTGTGGGTATTAACAAGTATATTTCTTTCGATACTTTTACATATATATCATATTGTTTTTCTACCGTTTTATTTGCAGGTTTTAGAGAATAAATGTTAGTATATAGATGAATTAGGGTATTTTGACGATAATTTTACTGATATTTTATTTTATTTTATGTATAAATTAAATTTATGTTTTAAACATTTATTTTAAAGATGAGTTTCTTTGTGAACGAAAGATTTATGATAGCGCAAAGTATGGGGGAAAAAGTATTAGTAAGAGTTGTTTATTAAAGTATAGTTTAGAGAATAATATGGGTAAAGTAAAAAAAAATGATCCCCTGACTCTAGGGTCCTGCTTTATTAAGTCCATCGACAATTATAAAGTTATAAAATGGTTCTTTTAATAGTCGATGGACTTGACAAAGCAAAACTCTATAGTTTGAGGATCATCTTGTAACTTTTAATAATATTTGGATTTAATAAAGTAATACCCTATAATCTGGGACCATTTATATATTTTACCCGAATAATATTTACTCTTATTTAAAAAATTAATCATATAAATATTTATAATCTTTGTTCACGAAAAAAAATGAGAATGAAGATAAATAATCTCTTAAAAATGAATGAAAAATAGATTATGGATGATAAAAGTTAAAAAAATGTTTGAATAAATACACATATAATAAAATTAAGGGTAAACTACATACTCAATACCTAAACTATCAATTTTGATATGTTTTAGTACTTACATTTTTATTTTTTTAAATCATACATAATATTTGCGGTTTATTTCATTTTAGTATCATACTATTAAAATTTTAACATGTTTAGTACTTAAACTACGGTTTTTATCTGTTTTAGTGCCTAAACTTTTATTTTTTAAAATTAACGTTAAATTTTGAACATGAATACTAAAATGAAACAAAACTAAACTTTATATGTGATTTTGAAAATATTAAAAATTTAGGTATTAAAATAAACTAAAATTGATAATTTAGACACTAAACACGTATTTTACCCTAAAATTAAAAATTGCATGAACATTTTTGAAGCAAGTAGGTGATTGGCCAAAAGTGCAAATTGCAACACTTTGATCTAATTCATAAATAAATGAATATTTAATAAGGAAAAGACGACTACCTTTTCATTCATGAGAAATTTCAACGGGTGGACGTTGATAATATCTCCGGGATGGGTATGGGATCCGAACCCAACGAGTTCCAACTCGGTAAGATTCGATCGGATCAGATTTTTTTTAATTTTTTGTTCGAGTTGGGTTGTATTTTTTAAATATGATATTCGGGTCCGGATTCGGGTTTATGGTGAAAAATATCCGATCCGACCTGACTCGACCTAGAAAAAAATATAATTTTACCTTACGTTTAGGAATAATTACAATATTAACCCTCTATATATTATTTTTTTCAATTAAGTCATTATTTTTATTGAATAAAATAATTTTTTTATTATTATTTCGGGTCGGGTCAGATTCGGGTCGAGTGAAATCTTATTTTGATCGAGTCGAATTGGGTCTCGGGTGGAGGATTAATTGTTCTCGAGTCGGGTCGAGTGGACAAAAATCTGACCCAACCCGACCCACGCACATCCCTAATCATCTCAACTCAAACCCTCATCTCATTCACATGCTTTTAAAAGTTCGATTATTTTTCCTAATATAAAATGGGTTAGTCATCTTTGTTGGCATTTCAACCCATTTATTTAATTGTTTTCAATAATCCTCATTTGCCCCACCAAATCAAAATCTCACACGAGCAAAGGGCCTACAAAAGGATAGTATAAACTATATATTTAGTATCCAAATTATCAGTTTAATTCATTTTAGTACTTAATTTTTTACTTTTTTAAAATACATATATAATATTTAGTTTTTATTTCATTTTAGTACCCTATTAAAAAACTTAAAGTTAAGTTATGATTTTTTTTGAAAATTTAGGTACTAAAACAAAATAAACTGATAGTTTAAGAACTAAACACTTTAAGTTTTTAACGGCGGGTACTAAAATGAAACAAAAATTAAACGTTAGGTGTGATTTTGAAAAGAATTGAAAGTTTAGATACTAAAATGTATCAAAACGGATGGTTTAGGTACTAATGCGTAGTTTACCCAATAAGATATTCTCCGTCTTTTCTTTGCTAGCTTACACGTGTCATCTCCTGACCAATCCTCCACTCACCCATGAGAATTCTCAGCCACGAGAATAAAGATTCTTCATTTATACAGAAAGTTGATTCACACGTGTGAGAAAACTAAAGTGAGAAACTGATTTCTTATTTATTTATTTATTGATTTTTTTTAAAATCCGTTGGCACGGCCCTTTTTTTTCACTTTACTCTTTACGCTGAGGTGGGGTCCGTTCGAGAATATGACGCTGATGTGGCGAAAATCCTGGTCTTCAGAACTCGTCTGTGGGACCCGCACAACCGGTGCTTTTAAAAATCCGACGGTGACATGGATTTTTTAAAATTTTATTTTTTTGTAATTTATGTGGGGGCATTATTTTAATACTTTACGTGGTATTCATCGTCAGACGATATTATTATTTTTATTATTACGATATGATTATTATATAATATAATATATTTAAAAAATTAATTATTTAATAATAGAGTTCAAACAATCTTATAAATGATGTGTTCAAACTCGAGACATTTAAAAATAATAATTATTTCTTTAATTATCAAGATTATTTGATTCGTGCCGTTGTTATTATTTTTGAAAAAGGTAGATATAATAAGAAAAATAAAATAATGGAAGGAGAATAGGGTTATGTGTCACATGGGTGAGTAGGGGGAGATGTAACAAGCAATAAGCTTATGAACCATAGAAAAAATATATGAAAGGAATAGGAAGTGGAGCAATGGGCCACCTTATAATTTCAACCACAAATTACCTCTGTTTTGAAAATCGGATCGGACCAGCCGGTTCAACCGGAAACCGTTGTTTAGTCCGGTTCAATCTAAATCGGGATTTTTTTTAAAAAAAATTAAACCAAACAACGTCGTTTGTTAAACGAGCCAAGTCGAACTCGAGTATTGCTGAGCTCGACTCGAACTTAAAAACTTTAAAAGTAAGCTCAACTCAACTCAAACTCAAACTCGCAAGCTAAAAATTATCAAGTTCAACTCAAACTCGAGATATAATATTGAAACTTGAACTCAAAAAGGCTTGAACTCAAAAAAAAATTAGAAGCTCGATTGAAGCCTAAAATTCGAGCTTGATTGAAGTGAAAGAATAGTTCACTCAATGCTCACCAAAAGGCTCCATGATTTTGAATGTCAAATTACCTCTATTATTTATAGAAGTTAGTTGTGATGTTCTTCTATGTTTCTTAGCAATGTGAGATTGTTTTGTTCTCATATTTTTACTCTTTAGACTTTTGGGATACTCTTCTATGTTTCTTAGCCATGTGGGATTGTTTTTAAAAAAAATTAAACCAAACAATATCATTTTGTTATGATTTTTTTAACCCAAAATTATTTTTTAATTATAGTTATATAATTATATTTATTATTTAATATGTTTTACCTTAAATATTATGTTGTAGTTAATTTGAATCATTTTGTTTCACTTGATTTTATAGTTTTTAACTTATATATGTTATGACTTGCTTTGAATATGACTTGTGATATAAAAAAATTATTTTTTATTAAATATTTTTGGTATTTTTATTTAATTTTTTAAATAATTATGACGTCGTCTAGTTCTTTCGACCGATCAGACCGTTGAACTAGTGAACCGATAGTATGACCGATTCGCTAACCGGTCCGATTCTGAAAACCATGCAAATTTAACCCAAAAAGCTAACAAAGAAATAAAGATTTTATAGTTGGCAATCACCATGAAGTCTTTATTATATTGTAAAAAGGAAGAAAAAAAATTAAGCAGCTTCAGGTGGAAGAAAAATAAATAAGTACTAAACACTAGTTGATGGATATAGTAAAATGAAATATTATAATAAATATTTTATAAATATTTTATTTATGAATTAGTTGTTTTAAATGAATATTTGTATTTTTATTAATCTAAAGATAATATATGTTCGAAAGACTCACAATTCATTTGACAATAAAATGTTTAAATATACCTGACATACGATGTGCTCGAACCCAAGACCTCTACGATAATAATCATCCTTTTGACCACTAAGACAGTTTGATTCATGCTAATCATATTGTTTAACATAGTATATTTTTTTTATTAATCTAGGGTGATTACAAGTGGTAGTATATGTTATAAAGACTCTTAATCATTTGACAATGAACGCTCAAACCTTACAGTCGTTGGTGCTCGAAAGCGATACCTCTACGAATAACAATCATCCATTTAATTACTGAATTAATTTGATTCGTGCAATCAAATATATTTTTTTTTGAAAAAAATGAATGGTAGATACTAATATTAAAAACCAACTTGACTAGGTTTAATCATTTTAACCTAAAGTTTGGCAAGTAATGGAAAGAAAACTAGATAAAGGAAAAGGCAAACAAGAAAGTTTCTACAAATGAAACATAGATTTGATCATCTATGTATGCCTATGCTTTCTCATATATATATATATGTCATGTAATTATATATATATATATATATATATATATATATATATATATATATATATATATTAAAGAATATATTGAAATTTGGATATACTTATATTTATTAAACACATAATATTTAATTTAAAATTAAAATTATCTTTAAATAAAGTTAGGAAAAGGGGGAAAAAGGAGAAATAATTGGTGGGTATGATATGGCAAAAAGTGAGAAGAAAACAAAAGGAAAATAAAAGAAATGAAAAGAGAGAAAGATCTTTTTGAGGCCACAAAGGAAGTTGTGGATGAAAATCTTCCTTCCTTGTTTAAACAAATCTAAAACGTAGACTCTACGAGACCATCCTCTCCATCTACGCTTTTGTTTTTCCAAATTACAAAATAGGATCATAGCATACCTTTATTTATAATTTTTTCGTTAAAAAATCGACGGTCACTTAAGTTGGACGTTAACATGTTGATTAGGATATGATAAAATTTAATTTTAAAAGCGTTTGAGATGTATTTTATGGATTGACTCTCTATTTATATTATGTTGTCGAGCCAGTGCTTGAGATATTATGCCTTTGAGTCAGTTCTTGAAAGCAACAACGATGCTAGTACACATCATTGAAATATAATTTTATAATATCTCAATCAGCATGTTAACGTCTCACATAGACGACCGTTAATATTTTAATAAAAAATGATGAGTTTAAAATATATGAATAATATATTATCATTTTGTAATTTTTAATAACTTAAGGATTCAATAAAATAACATCGTTCTCTATCTAAAAATATACCCTAATTTATTTTGGAAAAGAAAGTATTTTAATTATTCTTTTGGTTATATTTCATTTTTATTGAATACACTATTTTGTTTACCGTAGCGGCAAATATTTGTAATGTTTGACCTTATTTCGTAATTTAGGCTGCTATTTTTATTCCCACAAGCCAACCCAGGAAAAACTAGGGGAAAGAGGGGAGAAAAAGTAAAAACTATTTTGCATTATAAAAAAAAGTATTTTTTTTCATTTTAATTTTCTGTCGACAATAAAATTTTGTATGAAAGCAGTCAGCTTTTTCTACATAACTTTCTCTCTCTAGAAAGTTTGAGTTTTTAGTTTTGTGTTTGCTAAAAGGATTTAGGGAGAAGAGAAGAAAAAAGAGAGAGAGAAAACAGAAAATGTCGGAACCAAAAGATCCGACGATCAAATTGTTTGGGAAAACGATCCCTTTGCCCGAGAAATCTCCCAAAGTAGCAGCAGGTGACTCGTGTGCTACTTGTGGTGATGAAAACACCAACAATGATGATATTGATCAAGATCATTCTTGTTCCACAAATTCTTCACCAAAGGAAAATAAAGGGGAAGAAAGAGAAGAACCTGAAAAGGTCACGGAATTTCTATTTTAATTTATTCTTTTGGGAATTTTGAAGAACACCCTTTGTTTCGAATATGGAAAGGAAACAAGGGTTGGTCTTTGATTCTTAGTTTTTGCTATAAAAATTTGGATCTTGGTTTGAGTAAACTTGTGTTTTTTTAAAGTTAGGATTGGCTTCTCTGGATGTATTTTCTCAAGCATAATCCAATTATTCATGTTAAAATCCCGGCTAACTGCTTTTTGGTTAGCTGTGTTTATAAGGTAGCTTGCTGCCTAACTGCTGAATTGTAGTTTTTTTTTTCCCTTCATATTATTTGAATTTAATAAATTTTTTTCTTTCATCTTTCTGGAAAATGGTTTTGGAATCTTATTCGGGGTTTCATCACTTTCCATGTTTTCTTGGAAAATTTTCTGGCTAGCTTCTTTGAAATTGGTAGTTTAGCTTTCATTAATCTGGTTGACTGCTTTCATTATAGCTTGTGAATTGCGAGAGATGTTATCTGGATCTCTTTTCACTTAGTTTCATGAGGATTGTCAGCTATGATTAGGATCACTGCAATAAAAGTCTAAGCAAAAATAAAAATCTGTTCCTTGTTTCTTTTAGCTTTCGTCTCCGGTACTTTTTCGCGATCCTTACCATGCCGAAGGCGTTTTGTAAGTTATGCTATCTTTCTGATATAGTAAAAGCTCAATCTTCCTGGAATCAGACAAGAAAGTTACAACCAGTTTTTATCTGATTTTTAGCCATATTAAAATTTCTTCTGCTTTTGTATGTTATCCGTGCCGGTTACATAGCCATACGTATCATTCTATGGATTCCTAAGTTCTTAAGCAACTTCTCTACTGTGATGATTTCTTTTATAGCTGTTAGAACGGTGGTTGCTATCGGCGTGAAACCGATTCTCTACGTAGAAAATGCAGTCAGTTTCATATGATTTGTACTTTCTAGTTATGTACAATGATCATGTTCTTTCAACTCCTTTTAGTTCTCCTGCTGATTTTACTTCCTTCGAATTATTCAGGACATTGCGGGAGATAAAACAACAGACGTTGAACATGAAGTTGGAGATAGAAAAGAGGACGGATCTGAACAGGATGATAGTGCTCCTCTGATTACTTCTGTAGAGTCTACAAATCTGGAGGCAACCTCCGGAGCAAGTGACAACTCTAAAACACCTTCTGTCGATAAGGAGAGCCCTGCTTTAAAAACTTTACAAACAGAAGAAGATCAAAATGAGACAAGTAATCCGCAAGACAAAACCTTGAAGAAACCTACTAAAATTCTTCCATGCCCCCGCTGTAACAGCATGGACACCAAGTTTTGTTATTACAACAATTACAATGTCAATCAACCCCGACACTTTTGCAAGAACTGCCAGAGATACTGGACAGCTGGTGGGACTATGAGAAATGTGCCCGTGGGTGCTGGGCGTCGCAAGAACAAGAGTTCAGCTTCTCACTACCATCACATAACTGTCTCTGAAGCTCTGCAGAATGCTCGTGCTGAGATTCCTAATGGAGTTCCCCATCCGGCACTAAAAGCTAATGGTACAGTTCTGACCTTTGGCTCGGACGCACCCCTCTATGAATCAATGGCTTCTGTTTTGAACCTTGCAGATAAAACAATGCATAATACCACTCGGAATGGTTTTCATAAGCCTGAGGAGTTAAAAATTCCCGTTTCTTATAGAGGTGGAGAAAATGGGGTTGAGTGTTCAAATGGATCATCTGTTCTGACTTCAAAGGATGAGGCAGGTAAAGCCGGGTCGCAAGATCAAATGATGCAGAATTGTCAGGGTTTTCCACCTCAGATGCCATGCTATCCCGGGGCGATTTGGCCTTACCCATGGACCGGAGCTCAATGGAGCTCTCCTGTACCTCCACCGGCTTTCTGCCCTCCAGGCTGCTTTCCAATGCCATTCTACCCTGCAGCTGCTTACTGGGGTTGTAACGTACCAGGCACATGGAACGCCCCATGGCAGCCTCAGCCTTCTACTCCAAAGCAAACTGTACCAAGCTCCGGTCCCGATTCCCCTACCTTGGGAAAACATTCACGAGACGAGAACATGAGCAAACCAAACAACTCTGGAGAGGAGGAGCCGGTAAAGGAAAATAATGCTGAGAGAAGCCTTTGGATTCCGAAAACATTGAGGATTGATGATCCTGGCGAAGCAGCAAAGAGTTCTATATGGGCAACACTCGGCATTAAGAATGACAAATCTGATTCAATAGGCGGCGGACAACTGTTCAAAGCATTTCAATCAAAGGGTGATGAAAGGACTCAGGTTCCTGAAACCTTTCCAGTCTTGCAGGCAAATCCAGCAGCATTGTCGAGGTCAATAAACTTCCAAGAGAGCTCATAATCGTGTAAATTATGACTTTTAATTGCTTAATTACTATATGAATCCTGTCCTACTTCGTTAGCCGCTTGGTCATATTCATTCACCATCCCCCCTCTATATAACCAACTCTCAAAGTATGCTAACTGAGGAGAACAAAAGGAAGAGTCCAATCATATGGTTTGAAGGCAGAGTGTTTAGGCTCAAGTAGAAACTGATTTTTCTCTCCTGTTTTCCTTTTTCGGTTTAATTTTGTTTTCGGAATTCCTCTTCTTTCCATTAATGGCATGATCAGGGGTTTTCAGTTAGATGGTTTGCAGAGTTCTGTACATAATATATATAAGATGGTGAGAGGTAGGACCAAGTAAGTTTATTTTCCATAAATCCCCATTGTATTTAAATAAATTTGGGAACTCAAGTTTCTTTCAAATCTCCCTTAAATCTGTACTTTCTTTTCTGAAGATCTAGAATGCAGATTCTTTGATTCTCATGAACTGCTGCAGAATCCATCATCATTGCCATTATCATTTGCTGCTTATATTACTTGAACTCGAATGTAAATATTCCAAAATTTTCATGTATTTCAAGAATCATATGTATATGCAACTTGGAAAGCACATAAAGGTCCATGTAGGCCCTTCTTCTTTGACAGATGAATTGCAATCAGAAAAAGTCCAAGGATCTTTCCCTTTCCATAGCCATAGAATCCAAGCAGGTAGCACCAAAAAGGTAGAAAGTTTATCATGAAGTTCTCCTTTCTTTTCTTTTCTGTGGTTGACTTTCTTTTTTCTTTTGTTTTTTCCTAATCACTATTATAACACTGCCTTTTTAGCAATTAGTGTTTAAATTCTCATAAGTTGAAACAACCTTTGAAACGAGTCTTAAAGGCATTGATGCATGTCTACTACAGCAATCTACAAAGTTACAGTTTTTGTTTTACTGGGATTGCTGTATGTCAAAATCAAACTAACAAGAATTACTATGTTTGAAGAGATAGATTCAAGCTTAGACCAGCAAACAAACATGAAGATATTTTGCTGTGTTTTTTCTTTCCTCCCTTCTTTTGCCCGAAAATTTTGGTTTCCATTTGAGCCATGGACTGGTTATGGGACCCAAACCATGTGATGCCATTAATACTCTTGTTCTTCTCTGTTGTTGTCATTCTTGTCAAGTAAATCTTGTGCTTATTTCCCTATCCTTGTTTTGCTATTTCTTTTTCTGCACAGAAGTTGTTACGATACGGGGAAGAATCGATACCGTCGAGATTTAAATTTCCGATTTTTTAGATTTTACGTCTCGAAAGATGATTGTATAAATCAACTGAATTAAATTCGTTTTTTTTGTTCTAACACATCAGATTTGTAACCAAAGTACATAAAACATTATCTCATAAAGTTGACAACATGAACCGAACAAGTTGACATTGGGTTTAGATAATGTAAATGTTGGATAATGTCTAGCAATAGATATTTTGGGGTTTGGATTGTGGTATCTGATGTTGCATGATTTAGACCTCATATTGTCCCATCATAATCAAATTCATATCTGCTTCACCAATTCATGTGGCTCGTTTCCCTCGTCAACTATTTGCCAATCTATGCATAATTCATAGCCACAAGCATAGGCTATGATCCAGACTGAAGGTACCCTACAAGCATACATATACATATATGCTATCTTTTTAGCATATGTATTCCGAAGGTACCCTACATGCATACATATACATATATGCTAACTGTTTAGCATATGTATTTAAGCATAAGCATTGAGGGACATAGACGAGCATCCTCTTAATAAATGACCAATAACAGAGAAAATAATAGCGATTCGACCTTATTTGTTAACATGATAATTTTTCAAATGATCTAGACAATTAAAATTTGGGTAAACTACACAAATGGTCACTAATGTTTGAGTTTCTCCACTGAAGTTTTAAAAGTAACATATTGATCACTAACGTTATCGATTTATAACAAATTAGTCACTCGACGTTAACCGTCGTTACTTGAGGTAACAAAATAATGACGTGACACTATTTTTTCACATATTTGACTTTTTAAAGAAAAAAGTTTATCTTCTTCTCTCTCCTCACCTCCCTACTTCAAAATCAGGGAAGCTACAACTCTTAAATTTTCTACTACAAATGCTTGTTTGGGGGGTTACCTTCAACAAAAGGGAAGGTGAAAGAGTAAGTTTTCAAGTGATTAATATTATACGGCCGCCACCGACTTATAATTAATAGCCATTATATCATTTTCTCCCACAGCCACCGTCGCAATCTATTTTCTTCATGGGAAGAGGATTCGTATTTGAGTTAAGTAGAGATGGGGATGAACTGAGTGAATAAAAATAGTGTCATGCCATCGTTTCACTAACAACTGGACTTGCCTCCGGGATTTCGATTCCACCCCACCGATGAAGAGTTGATAACTCGCTACCTTTCCAAGGAGGTTCTCAACAGCCTATACTCTTGTATCGCCATTGGTGAAGTTGATTTGAACAAGTGTCCTGCTTCTCCGACCCGACGGACGACTGTAAAGCACTGGATGAAATGATCGATAGCTTCGACACTTCCCTCCTACCTTCTTCATCATCCTCTGCAAACTCTGTACAAATCCTCACACACCACCAACACCAACCAAATCAACCCGAACATCGGAAACTCGCAGTATCCGGATTATTTTTGGGTTCAAGATCAGTCTGTATTGAAGATGCTAATCCAAAGTCATGATTCGAAACCAGATATTTCCCAGGATCCAGCCGTGTCGAATCCCGAAATGATTCAAGATCCTTCATGTGCTGCAGGACCGGTAGACCTGGGTAATTGCTTCTGGGATTATTGAATTTGAAGACTAAAAAGCAAAAAGAGTCAAAGTGTTATACATAGATTGGAAGAGTTTAAAGATTCAAGAATATTACTGTCATATAGATTTATGTGTGAATAGATTGATTTCTTCAACATGTGTAGGAAAGTAAAGAAGATGAATGTGTTGTATGTAGTTAAAAAAAACTTTGTTTAAGGTTTTCATTGCCATTGTAGGTTTTCAGTATCATGTTGACATGCCAAATTTGTTTTATATATAAAACTAGGGTAAAGTATAGTAATGGTCACTGAACATTTCTGAAGCTTGCATTTAAGTCCCCCAACTTTTAAAACTTTCAATACAGTCCCCTAACATTTATTCCGTTTGCTATATGATCCCCAACTTAAATCACTGTTAGAAAATTAGGGTAAATTATATAAACGGTCATTGAACTTTTCAGGTACTTGAATTTAGGTCCCCAACTTTTAAAACTTACAAAACAGTCCCCCAATAATTTTATTTTCTTATTAAATATAGATGTATAGAAAATATAAATTATTCAATTTATATTTAAATGTATGAATCATTTATATTTTTGATATATTTTATTTTTCTTGTATAAACTAGTATTTAAAATATGTTTATATTTTAATCAAAATATTTCAATATACGAATAAAAATATATTTATATAAAATGTATATTTATATTTAGATGTATAAATAAAAAATATATATTCATATATTAATGTATGAATCATTTATATTTTTTGAATATTTTATTTTTAATAAGAAATTAAAATTATTAATTATATTAGAAATACTCAACTTAAGATTATATATATAATCATGAATTATAAATATGAAAAATATAATTATTAAATTTAGTTTAAAAATATATAAATCTTAAATTTATTCTTTTAAAATATTGTATCAACTAATATTTAAAAAATATATTAAATCTATCAAACAATTTATCAAATATAATATTTCTTTTGTAAAAAAATATAATATTTTCCCATCATTTATTGTTTTCAAATTTTTTTCCGAAGTTCAAATCTCATTATTTCCATTTTCCATTATATTCTTTTTTTTCTGGCATTGGTCATACTATTACTATATGTATTATTGTATATCTCTTAACACAAACGATGGTGTTAGCTTAGTGGCTTCACCCTGTATCTTTCATTTGCGTGACTCAGGTTTGAGTTTGCCCAAGACCCAAATTTTACTTCTTTGTAACTTAATTTTCTTCTAATTAGGTGGTGACATGTGTCACCAATAACATATATCATGATCATGTGTTAACACATGTCAGATCCTGGTTAAATGATTAATTTATTAAATTTTATTTAATTTAGGACCAAATTGATAGCATATATAAATAATTAGGTGGTGACATGTGTCACCAATGACATGTGTCATGATCATGTGCTAACACATGTCAGATCCTAATTAAATGATTAATTTATTAAATTCTATTTAATTTAGGACCAAATTGATTATATAAATAATAAAGACTAAATGTATAATAATGTCAATTCCTTTTAACTGTCACTTCATCATTTGTATCAATTGGTAACGACTAGTGGCTTAGTTGAAACAGTTAAATAATTATGTTGTATGATTGATAAATTTAAAAGATCGATGACAAAAGAAAAAAGGGCTAGATAGTTAAGTTGTCAACCTAGTAGTTTACACTTTTATTTATACGTCAAAATAACATTTTATAAATTTAAAATTCGAATTATTTTCAACCTCTTCTATATCCTAACTACTTTTTTTAATTAAAAAATTTCTTCAACAGATAAGAATTATACTATTATATTTATATATATAAAAAATACGTATCACATGAAATAAGATGAAATTAAATAATAATAAATCTGACATAATTGAATTTAATTGAATTATTTTGGAATTTAGGGTTTAGAATGAAATTGAATTACTTTGGAAATTGGGGTTTAGAATGAAATTGAGGACTATTTTGCAAGTTTTAAAAGTTGGGGGACCTAAATTCAAGTGTCTAAAAAGTTCAATAACCTTTTATATAATTTACCCTAATTTCTAACGGTGGTTTAAGTTGGGGGACCATATTGCAAACGGAATAAATGTTGGGGGACTGTATTGTAAGTTTTAAAAGTTGAAGGACCTAAATGCAAGCTTCAGAAATGTTCAGTGACCAGTACTATACTTTACCCATAAAACTATTGTAATTTTTAGTCAATTTTATTCATATTTTTGTTGAGGGATTCTTTTTTTATGAAGTAGTGTATAGTATGGGTAAGGTATTTGGCCATATACTTTGTCTTCTTCTTTTCTTTTTTTCTTTTTTAATTAAAGGTTGGGTTATTGTCGTTCCTAAATTACAATACTTTATTCAACCTTATGTGTTCCCATTGCTCTCTATACCCAAAAAAATGAATTGCATATATTAAGATTTTAATTTTTATGCACGACTTTTTTTGGTACATAAAAGTTTAATGAGTGGTCTGGGGCGAACTTCCATGGTGCCCAGGGTATCCCAAGCAACCCCTCCACAAGTGTCACCTCTCAAAAGTGCCACCCCTGGAGCTCTTGTAACCCTGAATATTTGTCCTGAGTCTGCCTCTGAGAGTGGTTCCCCTAGTACAGGGTCATGACATACTTAAGATCAAATTAGAATTTATATATGAATTTATAATTATCTTAAATTAAAAAATATTTTAGTGGAACTCGTTATGTGAAAATGATGAGTTACAAGAAATATATTTTGCTAAGGAGGGTAAGGAGTGAGATATCTTATTTGGAGCAATCCTTTAGAACAATTGAAAAAACGAAAATAAAGACCAAATTTAAGAGAAAAAACAAAGGCACACTCAAATTTTGGATTAATCTCTGAATAAAAGAAAATAAAGAAATGTAAGAAAAAGTCAAAAACATGATACGAACCACTAACAATATACTAAACATATAGTCCCATAACATATGGAGTGCAATTTTCCAGCTTCCGTCACCATTTTTAGCCCCATCCCACACTATATATCACTCCATTTCTTTCTCTTCCACCCACACAAATTCACAACATTTTCACACATACAAGCTAAGCATTGTTTCCTGTTTTCTGATCCATGGCGGAACCAAGGGTAATCACGGTGTCCCAAGACGGCCACGCCGACCACAAAACAGTACAGGATGCCGTAGACGCCGTCGCATCCAACGGCACCACTCGAACAATCATTCGGATCTCACCTGGTACTTACAGGCAACCCGTTTTCATTCCCAAGGACAAGAACCTCATCACCATAGTCGGTGTCCGAGCTGAGGACACTATTCTCACATGGGACAACACCGCTACTAAAAACGAACATCACCTTGTAAGCTACTTTCGACGATACTGAACTTTTTCTTGTTCTGTCCGTAATTGTTTTTTACCATTTCACGTGAAATCTCAATGTTTATTTTATTTCGCGATCAATATGCTTATGATCGTTCATTGAGTAACTTTTTTTCCTTTGTCGAAGGATGAGAGTGTGATTGGAAAAGGCACGTTTGGTTCCGGGAGTGTGATGGTGGTAGGAGACGATTTCATTGCTGAAAATGTCACTTTTGAGAATAGTGCTCCAGAGGTAAAACCTTAAATTTCTCCTTTCCTTTTCAAGTTTATTTTCGAATCACGTATGTTAAACACTTGAATTTGAGACAATAGTTCGTATTTGATTAATCTTTTTCTTCTTCTTTCTTCCAGGGTTCACACCAAGCTGTGGCATTCAGGGTGACAGGAGATCGGGGTGCATTCTATAGTTGCAGATTTCTGGGGTGGCAGGTACTTAGCTACTCGTTCGATAATTCGAGTCCAAATATTCGACATTTTCATTCGAGTCCAAATAACATAGCATTTCAATGGTTCATGACTAACATAACATTTGCAGGACACCCTTTACCTGCACCAGGGAAGGCATTACGTGAGAGATTGCTATATCGAAGGAAACATAGACTACATCTTCGGAGCTAGTACAGCTCTCTTCGAACATTGTCATCTCCACTGCAAGTCACCTGGTTTCGTAACCGCGCACAAACGCATTACCGCCGAGGAAACAACCGCTTATGTGTTTCTGAGGTCCGTAATCTGATTACAACATTTACTTCCATGATCATTCGCAATTCTTTCTATGAACAATTTGTCACATTGTTGCAGATGTGTCATAACTGGCAACGGAGAGCCGGGGTACTCATTCCTCGGGCGTCCATGGGAACCCTTTGCAAGGGTGCTGTTTGCATTCACTTTCATTGATAAATGCATAAAATCCGAAGGTTGGAATAACTGGGAGGATCCAGAAAAGGAGAAGACTGTTTGCTTCTACGAGTTCAGGTATATCCCCTGGAGTTTATTCGAAAGATGAACCGAGAATCTAAATGAATCAAACTAAGGTGTTTTCCTTGATTGAAACTGCAGGTGTTTCGGACCGGGTGCGCATCGGAACGAACGAGTGGCCTGGTCGAAAGAACTGAACAACGAAGAAGCAGAAGTGTTCCTTGTGCATAAATTCATCGACACTGATCCAGAACACTCTTGGCTTGCTCAGAGAATGGGCCACAGAATCCCAGTTAATGCCTAGAAATCATTGCTAAGCTTTGCATGAGTTGATAATGAACGTTTTTACAAATATGTAGAATAAAACCTTCCATTGCGGCCATTTGAAGCTTGATCTTAAGGCGCAAGGAACATTGGTCGAGGCCTCGTGTTAGAATTTTTCTTATATTCTTAAACCATATATATTATTCATTTTCATTTTTATTATGATGAATTAAACGGTATTAATAATTAAAAGATTTATTTTTGTTATTTGAAGTTTTGGGTTTGAAAATATATATGTAAAGATAAGAGCGTTTATTGTCAAATGATTGAGAATTTATATATCTTATAAATAATCTATTTTATTTACATTTTGAGACATGGTATTATACTGCATATCATGCTATGTTTTGTTTTAAAAATGATTTCTATCGTATTTAATAATATCAAGTCTTAGTATTAAGTATACTTCATCAAATATATAATTATAACTTAATAAAATACTGATTATAATTTAATAAATATGTAAAGATTTTCAAATATTTTGTGAAATATCACACTAGAAGTATTTGATATAACCTTTGACAGACGATAACAATCGTATTGACAGATACAATAATACTAGACTTGATACCAAGTATCAAAGGACCAACATAAACATCAATCAGACAAATCTAATGGAAGGACTCAGTTTACCTCCATCTCTCACAAAAAAAAACCCGACAACGATGATAGTTTTATGTCCAAATTAAAAAGGGTGAATCATCAATAAGCAATAAGATAAATTTATTTCGTGAACGACGTATATGTATCATTATCAAATATTCACTTTTAACCCTAAATCAGATGTGATTTGTACTGAACGACAGGTTGCTTGCAGATTATAGGAAATTCAATAAAGTAGTGTCCTATAGTCGAAAAATCATTTATATACTTTACCCTTATTGTTTCATAAGATAAACCACACAAGTCACTCAATTATTAATAATATTATAAATAAATTACCTACTTTTAAAGAGTTACAAATAAATCACTTAATTTATTCATTGCCACGAATGTATTGTTGGTTGTTAAAAATGAAACGGAAATAAAAATTGTCGTTGAAAAATCTCTTTAATAATTTTTATATTGGATAATTTCATCACAAATCATCTAATTATTAGTAAGATTATAATGTCTCGTCCAATTATTAGTAAGACTACAAATAGGTCATCTAATTTCAAATACTCACAAATCAATCATTCAATTAATTGTAAAAGAAAACTTATTTTGAGTTTTAGTCTACTAGAAGATGGGAGGCTCCATTTGACAATTCAAATGGCGGAAGGCTACCATTTGTGAGATGGACATAACAAAAAAAAGAGTCCATTTGAAGGTGGATGATGTTGAAGAAGTTTGAAATTTTAAGGGTGATTTCATGAGTTTTGAGAGACATTCTCTAGAATCTAATTTGTGAATCGAATGAGGAGATCGATGTAGATCTTATAATAAAATTCACGGTTCATCGATCATCATATACGATAATAAAAAAAAATATTTAGAGTAACAAATCGATTGAATTCAAAACTAAAGTATTTACAGCATTGTAAGGTTGCTTTAATCAAGCTATTAAGTCTTAACTATAATGTAACACACTTTAGTTCGATTAAAGAGGAGGCGGATGAATCGACCGGATGAACATCGTGTCTTAATAATCTGGAATGGAAGCAAAGGTGTATCCATCAGCACCCCTCCAAGAATAATAAGCTATCCGAGTCTCATAAAATCCTGCACCATACGAATTCCGATCAATAAAAAAACGTCGGTCAAGCTCTTTCGATGTTCGACAATAGCAAAGGATAACTTTGCCAGCAACACCAATGGTAGTTGTAACCGTCATGCACTATTTCGTGCATAATGCCTATTGCAGGAATATTTGTTTCAATTGCTGTTGTAATGAAATAAGTAGTGTTTGATCAAATGCACCCGTCCGATGCATATCTAGACATGGATATCAGTATACGACCCTCTAAGGTCACTTCAAATATCTGCAAAACTTCAAAACATGTATGCCTAAACGCATACACTCAAGTCTGAATAACTTAAATGTTATCCTAAGCCAAAACTTCCCAAAATGCAGCAATACATTACAAAAAGAGAGGAGAAACCGGAATGATTTCACCGTTACGAAACAAGATATCATTAACTATCAGGTATACAGAAACAAGTTAAGCATAACCATGCAAAATGCATTGAACTGTCAAATGCAATCCCCCTCTCAACAATTAAACATAACTTTCTATAACATCCGGTTTAAAATATGTACCGTTGACGACAAGTAAAAATTGCAAGGACTAAAAGGCGTACCTGGAAGGAAAGTAAGAATTCCGAGTACTAAGAGGCCATATGCCTGTGATTGCTCTCCTCCCATATGCCCTGTGAAGATGAAAAAAGAAAGAAAAAGAAGCAAGCACCCTAGACAAAGCAGAAAGAGTGCAAGGGCAATGGACTTCCATGGGACTCTATCGAAGGCTTTTGGTGCATAATCAAACCTCGGGTCATAACGCCTCCCACCAACATAATCATCGTCTTCATCAACGGCTAAAGGACTGTAACGAACATGACGCCTAGACGACATATTTGTTAAGCACGCAACTATCTCTTGGGATCTTTAGCTGTTAAACCAGATTCGTCTAAACACAAAAAAGGCACAAATTCACCCATCTCAGATATCAAATGAAGAAGTTACGAAAGAATCAAAGAAATAAACCAGTAAATAGTATTTACGAACAAAAGGCTATATTATTGCTTAGAAACCACAAACCAGATCATCTTAACATCCAAAATCAAGGATCCAAGCTTAATAAATACAAAATTTAGCAGTTGATACTAATTAATTCAATATAGATCAGAATAATGAACATCAAATTTGCAGCTTTCTATATGGATGATTTGGCAGACAAAATAAGATCAATAAACAACCATTTTCCCCAGTTTTCCAGCATTAAAGAACCTATCTTTTATCTATATATAAAATTGGGTAACCATTAAATACAACAAACGATAGAAATTAAAATAACCCAGAAACTAAAATACCTACGTAATTCAATTCTCAAGAAACCCAGTTGCAACTAGATCTTATCGTTTCTAATAATTTGATTACAAAATGAAAATATAGAAAAATTAACGACGCAAAAGAGAGAGAGAGAGAGAAAACACTTACAGAGAGGAGAATTGAAGAAATTTGATCGCAAATCTGTACAACGAATGAAGAAAGAATCAAACTAGTTGAAACTTCGAAGCAAATATTCAAGACCGGAAGCGAGAATTTGGAAGTTTCCTTTGTTTAACATCATATGACGTAAATACCCTTATATGTTCTTTTAGTTTCGAATAAGTCCTTTGTTAGAAATCATAAAAGCTAGCATCACTAGAAAGTTTAGATATTTGCGGGGATCAGATATACAACAATGCAATATCATTGTCGATAGTAATCATAGAGCTCAATACGAATAATTTTATATTTTAAATAAAGTTTGAGTTCATCACGATTTGGATAGCAAGACATTACGAATTAAGTTTGTAATTAATTTATTTTGATTTTGATTTTAATTTTAGCACGAACCTAACGAATTCGATGGAAAAATAATTGTTGTTATTTCTCGTGGTCATATGTTCGAGCATTTATAAATGTGATGTAAGTTTTCAATGTCAAATTCTTGAGAGATGTTTTAGAATATATATTGCATTATACTCTACCCAAGTTAATAAAAAAATTAGATTAATTTTTGAGCCAAATTTTTATAGGAATAGTTAATTTTATTTAAAAATGAAAATACCCAAAATTATAATAAAGTTTACGGCAAAAGACTAGTTCACTTAAGATCATAAGAAGATCGTACAAAAATAGATTAAAAATATTAAACAAGAGATAAATATGAACAAATCTAACTGTATCAACAAATAAAATTATTATGATATAAATAAAATGCTTCAAAATACAAAATTAATATATTCCATCAACATTCCTTAAAATGAAACCAAGCCGTGAATTAGTGGTATAGCGCGCGCCCTGCACCGCGTTATACTCCACGTGTCAGATATACAGGTATAGCGCGCTGCAGGGGCCGCGCTATACCCACGTGGCGCCAGCTCACCGTATAGCGCGATGCAAGGGGCGCGCTATACCCCACGTGGCACCAAATAATCGTATAGCGCAGTACAGGGGACGTACTTTACTGCTAAGGGTGTTAGATCGAGAAATATAATTTAACCGGTGTTAGATCGATAACATTATCAGTCACCGATAATATATCGGAAAAATCGCCCAGCAAAACCAAAAGTTTGTTCCTTTCAAGATCTGTCCTATTTTGAGAAAGCTTCTTTTCGCTTAAGAAATCTCAATAATTTTTAAGGACTGAGGCATTGAATTTGAGTAGTAAAATAGACTCTCCCTCTTTTTTTTTTTTTTTAAAAGGAGAATCTTTTCTTTTGTTTTTAGGTATTGGAAGGTACCTAGTCAAGTTTCTTTTATTATTATTAATATGGGGTAAGTAATACAATGTAATATTTATCACGATAAGTTAATATAATGAGATGAGGTATTAGATCTTTAGGTAAGGTGACGGTTTTGAATGGAATAAACTGAATTAAGAGGATTATTTCTACTTCTGTAATACCCGATTTTGATTAATATATCATATACAAATGATTATACCAAAAAATTATTTTCAGTGCCCAACACTTCGATATGTTAAAAACACTTGAACTGCTTATTGTTTCTGTGCAATTAATATTATTTTCACTAATCGTGGGTGCACGTGTGCTCTCAGTGAACTGCCATTATCTGATTCTTTGTTCCACAATCTTGAATTCTTGATCGACTATTAAAACGGGATTAATTAATTGCTAACCATTAATTATTTTTAATTTTTATTTCGTTCAACTTCCTCACTCGTTGTACTTTAAATTCGTTCAAATTTTTCATTGAACTTAATTAATTAATTTTTTTTTGTTACTCTACCATTTTTTTTACTGAGGTATTATAAATTAACTGTTATATAAATGCAAAACTACATCGTTTTGATGATAATTTCATTTTTTTAAAGACGACGTCGTTTTATCAATGTTAAATAATTAACTACAACAGGGAAGTCATCTTAAGGATGGGAGGGGCAGCTGCCACCTAACATTGACAGACTAATTACATTTTAGGCCATTGAACATTTTGAAACTGTTATAATTAAGTCATTGTCCCCCAAGTTTCTTGGTATAAATATTTTTTAGATACTGTCAGATTTAAAATCAATTAAATTAAGTATTGGCCTAACATTTATATGATTTAATTATTTTTAAGACATTTAAAATTTTAAATTAGTAGAATTAAGCCCTTAATCTCTTAATTTTTTACTTTTCAATTTCTTATTTATTTTAAAATTAAATAACTTATCCATAAATTTAAATTACGGTTATGGTAACCTTTTCAGTTGCGTTGCGACTACCATGATTACGACAATAGCATACCGCTATATAGATTCATGTTTGCCCCCTCATAATTTAATCCTAGCTCCATCCTGAACGACGAAATGACTAAAAAAACAAAATATATTAAGTTTAGGGGAAAAATGAAACGGATTTAAAGTACAATGAGTGAAATTAGTTTAGTGACGAATGGTGTAATTTACCCCATATATTATACAAAATCATTAGAGAACTATATTTTATGTGAAGGGAGGATTTGACTTATGTTAGGCACAGTCTACCTAATCTACTGGTATGCCCAATTATCAAGTGTTAAATTAGCTAAGCATTCGAAAAACAAAAGAGAGAGGACAAATCAAGGTAAAAGATTGCTTCAATAAACACTTTAATTAAGTAAACCATTCAATTTGAGTTTTTTATATTAATATCACATTTTGTAATTAAGTAAACCATTCAATAAACACTTTGTTTCACCAGCCCGGCCTCGGACTGCTCCTTTCCCACACCCTCACTCGATATCTTTGATTCGAAATCAAAGTTTCACAATAGAAAATTCGAGGACTTAATCGGATACAATCAAGAGGCTAATTTTGGAAACTCATAGAAACATCAGGGGTCCTTTCAGTATTTTAGCCATTAGAGGAAGCATGAATATGGTAACATGAACACACTTATTTCACTGCCCACAAGGACAGACAATTACGTTGTTTCATATACAAAGCAAATACATGTCCATGAGTTGTCCATTCACAAACCTTCTCTCCTGTTAACTAATACCCTAATATCTCAAATATAAAAAAGAATCCTTAATCAAAACAAGATCTCGTTTTAAATGATAAAGTATTTTATTAGTTTCAACAGTAAATATACATACATTATTGCGTATGATTGATGCAAGGGTTGGGTCCAAGGTGACATGACAAAAAGTGCATTCCTTTTTTTTTACTATAAGAAAGTGAGCATTTACCACCTCACATCAAATTAAACATTAAGGCGTGATGCTGAATTCAATTTAAAAGTTTGGTGGGGGATGGGATCACAAAATAATGGTGCACGAGGAAAATAGTATTGTATCTGTTCTTAGCTGGACTTAATCATGGGATTTCATGCTAAAATAGAAGTGTTCGTGGATTGGTTTCCTTGATTAAATGTTTTTTTTTTGGATAAGTAAAGTTTTATTTATCCAAAAGAAAGCAGCAAGCTGCTACAAGAAACATTACAGATAGCTAAATCAAATCCCAATCAAGACACAACCTCCTATTTACATTATCCAATCTGTTCATATGACACCTATACAATTTGATTCTAACAGCCTTTCTAACTCTATTAACAATTTCCTCAGTTGGACGGATCACACCTATAAAAATCTTGTGATTCCGTTCCTCCCATATAAAATAAACAAAACCAGTCCAAGCTAGCTTGAGAATTTGAGTTAGAAGAGATTTACCTTTCAAATTCAATATCAACCAGCGCAAAGCGTCATTCCAGCAGTGCAGTACCTAAAGCTGGAGTCCACAAGCACGCAAAATAGCGCCCCAAACCTCTGTTGCATAAGAACATTCCAGGAAGAGATGATTACGGGATTCCTGTCCAGCACCACATAACCCACATACGTTATCAGTCACCATGCCAATCTGTCCTTTGTTGGCAGCCTGTCAAGAATCACCATCCAAGCTATAATGGAAAATTTGGGAATATGAGCTGCGAACCAGATAAGTCTATGCCAATCAACCTTGTCCCTCCTTTCACGAACACTATCCCATATCCAACCACCTTTGATATATGTCAAATTGATAGCAGGCCAAAACAGTCTCCTAGCTTCATCCCTTAGCTTTAGCAATTTTCTGAGAATCCAGCTAAAATGATTTTTGCAATCAACATTCCAATAATCCATAGTTTTGAAGCAGTAACCTTTGATCCATGCAATCCACAAGGAACCATCATCAACAAGGATTTTCCTAACAAACATAAAGCAAAAAGCCTTGCTCCAATCAGTTAACTTCCTCAGGCCCATACCACATTCAGATTTTAAACAACAAATCTGACTCCAGCTCACTCTGGCCCCATTTGCTGGAATATCATTACCCTTCCAAAAAAACCTCATGCAAAGTTTTTTGATGTCCTTAATAACACCTTTTGGCAAGACCAGTTGTCTACTCCAATAGCCAAAAATGCTAAACAAAACACATTTAACAAGCTGGAGTCTCCCCCCAAGGCTTAGGTGCCTGCTAGACCATACATCAATTATGCTCTTAATTTTATTAAGTAAAGCCAAGCAGTCCCTACTTGTAAGTTTTCGAGTAACCAAAGGCACTCCTAGGTATCTAACAGGTAGCTGGCTAATATTAAAGCCAGTAGCTAAACGAATCTGCAACAGACTATTCACAGACACCCCACAAGCAAAAAACTCAGATTTCATAGCATTTAATCTTAAACCAGAAAGTTCATAAAACCTGTCAAGAATGCTAACAACCCCCATAACAGAATCAAGGGACCCATGGCAGAACAGGAGCAAATCATTAACAAAACAAAGGTGGGTAAGACAAATTTTCTTGCACTTTGGATGAAATCTAAATACACCATCCCTTGCAGCAACATTCAGCAGAACTGAAAGCACATTCATTACTATAACAAAAAGGTAAGGAGACAATGGATCTCCTTGCCTCACACCTCTTGCTCCCAAAAACTACCCTACCAAACTACCGTTAAAAGAAATAGAATACCTATGAGTAGTCACACATGTTTTTATCCATCCACAAAAAATGGCAGGCAAACCCAAAGCTTCAAGAACATTCAATAAGAAATCCCAGCAAACTGAATCAAAAGCTTTTTGGAGATTTATTTTCAAAGCACATCTAGGAGAAAGGTTCTTCCTAGAGTATCCCCTAACAATCTCCTGAGCAAGCAAGGTATTTTCAGCAATATCTCGACCCTTTACAAAAGCTTATTGGTTGTGAGAAATCATACCAGGAAAATAAACTGCCAGCCTAGTGACTAAAATCCTTGTAATTGTTTTGTAAATTACTGAGCAGCAAGAAATATGCCTAAAGTCCTTAGCCATACAAGCATTCAAGGACTTAGGCACCAAGGCAATTGTGGTGGAATTAAAAGCAGGCAGGAGAGAAGATGAATGAAAAAATACCTTATAGCATCCAAAAAATCTTTGCAAACAATCTCCTATGCTACCTTGAAAAACCAAGAAGTGTAACCATCTGGCCCTGGGCTTTTATCCTTTCCCTGTCTGAAAAGTGCTTCCTTAATCTCCTTATCTGTGATCTCACCAACAAGGAACACATCAGCTCCATCAGGCAATGAGTAATCCAATAGGGATTTCAGCCATTCCACAGAACATCCCTTCACCAAAGGGTCAGGAGTGCCAATGAGGCTCTTGAAAAAATTAACAAGTTCAGAAGCCATACCATCAAAAGATTCATGGAACTCCCATACTCATCTTTAATCATTCTGATAGTATTCCTTTTCTTATTTGACTCAACTCTTTGATGAAAAAATTTAGTACTCTTGTCACCTTCCTTCAACCAGTGAGCTTTTGCTTTTTGTCTATAGAACTCAAATTATGCATTTTCCAATTCAGTTAATTCTGCCTGAACTTTTTTCTCTTCAGCCACTCTTCTCTGATCTACATGGCCAAGATTGTGAATCTGAATAAATTCCATTTCAGCTCTCTTAGCAGTCACTCTACTAGAGATGTCAGAGAAATAACTCTTATTGAATTCCCTTAACAAAGGCTTTAGCCTCTTCATCTTATAGAACAAAATTTGCATTGCATTTCCAGCACACTGTTCTTGCCAGGAATCCCTTACCACCCTTAAAAAATTATCATTTGCAGTCCAACAATTAAAAAATTTAAAAGGCTTAGGCCTATGGACTTGGGCACACCTTTGAGACCAAACTATGCCAGGGGCATGATTAGAGACTCCCTGAGCTTGAAACTCCACAAATGAATCAGGGAACTCTAGTAACCACTGAGAATTTATAAGAATTCTATCCAACTTTCGAGCCAAATAAGAGTTTTCTTGCTTATTCGATCAGGTGAATAGGGGGCTTGAAAAAGGGTGATCCTGCAACTCCAAATCCACCAAGCATCCTTTTAAATCATCCATGTCAGAACTGCTATGCACCCCCAAAGTGTCAAAATCTGAACTTTCTTGTGCACTGGCAACAACATTGAAGTCACCCCCTATAAGCCATGGGAGAGAACCAATGTCAGTTTCAAGATTCTTCAAATGCCCCCAAAGACCCCTCCTAGTCAGTCCATTATTACTGCCATACACAACAGTAATAACCATGCTATGACCAGCTACATCTCCAGTAATGGTAAGGGCCTGATCACATCCTCCTAAGAAAGAAAATGCCAGCCCTTTCCTCCACAATACCCAAAGTCTGCCTGTAACACCCCCAACCCATACCCGACCCGGATATGAGTCAGAGATACTACATTGACTTTAAAACACAACTCTTAACAAATAATAGTAAAATATTTGTACTTATATTAAGAAAATACAATAATATACATACTGTAATATAAGTTTACCAAAATATTCAGAGCATACACAACTTAACTCTTTAATTACATGCCAACTGCCATTTACATAACAAAATGACCTACTGATTAAGTTGCTTCTGATCTGATGATTGCAGGAGTAATACTGTCAAGCTGCTTCACCTGTCTCGTCTATTTCCTCGGATCCTACGTGTGAAACACTCACACGCTAAGTCATCGACTTAGTGAGGCAATAATAATAAGGCAATTGTAATGAAAATGTCATGATCATATGAGATGAAATGCAAACATGTACTTAATCAATGTAGTATACATCATCAATACCCATACCTGTAAGCGTATGACTGTAACATTTATGAATCTGTATTAATAAGTTTATTGGCCCATGATAGCATATTGAGAACCTAAGGTATTTGAGTAATGTGAGGTTGTGCACTATGCTGTCACCACAGCTCGTATAAATGCACCGAAGTGCCCCGTAGAATTGCACCGAAGTGCCCCATAGAATTGCACCGTAGTGCCATATAATGATGTCCATAAGGACCACATAGAATTCCTTAAGAATCATATACATATACTATGGATCAAGTATGTGTCTTTCAAGACTTCACACAGGTTCCAAAGAATATACATATGTCCTAAAGAACCGAGTATACCCTCTACCCTTGGCATGCCAACTATACCTATAGTTCTCATCTACATACATGGGCTTTTACATTTCAAGTAGTCTATATCGCGTAGACATGTAAATTCTTACCTTTTCACATAGCTCATAACTTTTCCCACATAGTCATGTCATATAATGCATTTTATATGAATTCATGTCATGTCTCATAATACCGACTATGCTCATGTACCAAGATATAAAATCTAGACTTATCACAAGTCTAGAATGGAGTATATTTCTATAATCATGCTATGCATATGCACTCACCTATACTTCTTTGCCTTTTCCTCGATCGATCCTACTGGTAGATTGTTCCCGAACTTGTGTAGGCTCGGTATCTACATAAACATAATTTTCAAGATGATCATCAGATGTCTATGTCTTGCAATTAAGCTTTAATAGCTTATTAATTTAAGAAATTAATAGCTTAGTCTTTCTTTCTTTTCTTCTCTTTTTTTTTCCCATGGGGGAATCGGTTCCCCCCCTGGGGTATCGGTTCCCCTCTAGCATTCTGGAATTTCATATCCGTTGAGGGGGTATCGGTCCCCCCTGGGGGTATCGATTCCCCTCTAGTATTCTGGAAATTCATATTCGTTGAGGGGGTATCGGTTCCCCTTGAATGGGTACCGATTCCCCTAACCCAGAAATCCTATTTTGAGCTCGGAAATCATCCCATTTCAGCTCAAACATACATATTTCACTCTCTTTACTACTCTTAGCTTTCATACACTTACTTTAACTAATTATTATCCATTAAATACCTCTAAAACTTAGAAATCTAATTCTCCATGTAGAATTTAAGAATCCAACCCAAATTCCAATATGTTCTAATTTGAATTCTAACACCTCATACTTCTTAGTTAGCTTCTTGACAAGTCAAAAATCTTATTCAAACTTCAAAAACTCATTCCTATCAAAATTTCATCTAAAAATTCATTTTCCAAATCTATCTCTAAAACACTTATCTTGTTGTTTTAATGTCATATAAGCTTTCCTTTAGCTTATATAACATCCAAACTTTCATTTCAAATCTTAAAAATCAAAGAAACTACCAAGGTTCAGATTCTTACCTTTACTTGCAAGCTCCACGTTGAGAGAAGGAAGAGAAGAAAATAAGGAAGAATGAAGAAGAAATGGGATGGTTCTGGAAACCTAATGTCACACGTGGGTTCTCATATAACCCCATAACATTTTATTTTAATTAAAATTTCCTTACAAATGACCATTTGGTCCTTACCTCCATCTCATATTTACTAACCATACTTTTTAAACTATATAATTATTCTACTTTAATCACCAAATGTTGAAACTTTGCAAATTAATCACTCACCCGACATGGAGGATGTTACAAATCTCTCCCCCTTAAGAAAATTCGTCCTCGAATTTTCATTACACGAACAAATGAGGGTATTGATGTCGCATATCTTCTTCACGCTCCCATGTTGCTTCTTCTACTTTGTGATTTCTCCACAACACTTTGACCAAAGGAATAATCTTGTTCCTCAATTGCTTAACTTAATGTGCTAAAATTTGAATCGGTTCTTCCTCATAAGTCAAGTCAGGATGAACCTCAATCTCTTCTGGTGTCACGATATGAGAAGGGTCAGATCTATATCTTCGAAGCATTGAAACGTGAAAAACATCATGTATCTTTTCCATCTCAGGTGGTAAAGTTAGCTGATATGCTACAGGTCCTACTCTCTTTACAATCTCATATGGTCCAATAAACCGAGGACTCAATTTTCCTTTCCGACCAAATCTCAACACCTTCTTCCATGGAGACACTTTTAAAAACACTTTATCTCCAACTTGAAATTCAATTTCTTTCCTTTTAAGATCAGAATAGGACTTTTGCCGATCATAGGCCACTTTGAGGTTATACTGTATTTCTCGAACTTTCTGTTCTACATCTTGAATTAAATCCGTACCAAGAATACTTCGGTCTTTGAGTTCATACTAATTTAATGGAGTACGACATTTTCTTCCATATAATGCTTCATAGGGGGCCATCTTTATACTAGACTGATAACTATTGTTGTAAGCGAACTCTGCCAGCGGTAAATACTTTTCCCATGATCCTTTAAATTCCATTACGCATGCTCTCAACATATCTTCCAATATCTGAATAGTTCTCTCTGATTGCCCATCAGTCTGAGGATGAAAAGCCGTACTAAAGTTTAAACGAGTCCCCAACGCTCCATGCAAAGATTTCCAGAATCTAGAAGTGAATCGAGGGTCTCGATCAGAGACTATGGAAACAGGTACTCCATGCAATCTAATAACTTCTCTAATATACAACTCTGCATACCTTCCATAGAGAAATCCGTTCTAACCGGAAGAAAATGCGCAGACTTAGTTAATCGATCAACAATTACCCAGATTGATTCTCTTTTGTTCGGGGTCAAGGGTAACCCCGAAACAAAATCCATCGTAACATTTTCCCATTTCCATTGAGGAATGAAAAGCGGTTGCAATAATCCTGATGGAACTTGATGCTCGGCTTTGACTTGTTGACATATCAAACACTTAGACACAAATTCTGTGATGCTTCGCTTCATCCCTGCCCACCAAAATCGATCCTTCAAATCCATATACATCTTGGTTCCACCAGGGTGCATCGTTAACGGACTGCAATGAGCCTCTGTTAATATCTCCTTCTTCAAGTCGTCATTGTCGGGTATAACAATTCTTCCTTTACAATATAGATTTCCATCTGACTTAATCTCAAAGTCTTTAATCTCTTTGTTCTTTACTTGTTCAATTCTTTTCAAACACACTTCATCTTTACATTGCAATTCTCCTATTCGTTCCAACCATGCTGGTTTAAGGGTTAATTCTGCACAAAGACCACCGTCTCCCGTTAAAGATAATCTTGCATCCATAGCTCGTAAAGCTGCAAACGTCTTTCTACTCATAGCATCTGCTACCACATTAGCCTTTCCGGGATGATAGTCAATTATCACATCATAATCCTTTAAGAACTCTACCCATCTACGTTGCCTCAAATTCAATTCTTTTTGAGTCATCAGGTACTTCAGGCTCTTATGATCCGTATATAAGTAACAACGCTCCCCATAAAGATAATGACGCCAAATCCTGAGAGCGAATACTACAGCAACCATTTCTAGATCATGAGTGGGGTAATTCCTTTCATGTGGTTTCAACTGTCTCGATGCGTACGCTACCACTTTTCCTTCTTGCATTAATACACACCCCAACCCGTTATGG